TTTCTCGAGTTTTCAGTTCTTCTTCATTTCAATTTGTCAATTTTCCGATTTTTAAAATTTTTGATTTTCCAATTTTTCTTTTTCAATTTTTTGATTTCTGGATTTATCGAATTTCAGATGTTTCGATGTTTTGATTGTTCAATTTCTCGATTGATCAATTTTTCAATTTTTAATTTTTCTTCGCGGCTTTCGTTTAATCAATTTCTTGATCGTTTGATTTTTCGATTTCTCCATGTCTCAGTTTTTGAATTTTTCGATGTTTCGATTTTTGGATTTCTCGGCTTTTCGATTTTTTACATTTGGGCCTTTCAGTTTTTCTATTTTCCAGTTTTTCGATGTTTCGATTTTTCATTTATACGATTTTACAATTTTTCATTTTTTTTATATATACCTACTGGGATTTTTAAATTTTAGATTTTCGAATTTTTATTTTGTGATTTTTTGATGTTTGGATTTCTCGATCTTTCAATTCTACAATATTTTAATTGTTCAATGTTTTAAATTTTAGACTTTTGGATTTCTCGATTTTTTGATTTTTCAGTTCTTCAGTATGTCTATTTTTCAATTTTTCAATTTTTGACTTTGCTAAATTTTCAGTTTTCCGATTTCTCAATTAATCTATTTTTGATTTTCCCATTTCTTGACATCACAAAGTTTCGGATTTTCAGTTCTTCAATTGTTTGATTTTTCGATTTTTCGACTTTGCTTTTTTGGGTTTTCGATTTCTTAAATGTCCAGTTTTTTTATTTCACAATTTTTGGATATTTCTTTCAGTTTTAGGATTTTTTAACACACATGTATTTCGATTCTTCGACTTTTCGATTTTTCGACTTCTGGATTTTTCGATTTTTCGCTTTCTTAATTTTTGGATTTTCAGTTTTTCGTTTTTTAAACTTTAAATTTTTCAATTTTTCGATATTTCTTTCAATTTTGGGCTTTTTCAATTCTTCATTCTTCAAATTTTCGATTTCTCGATTTTTTTATTTTTCGAGATCTCAATTTTCCGATTTTTCAATGATACGATTACTCAATTTTTGTCCCCTTCAAATTTACGATTTTTAAATATGCATTTCGATTTTTCAATTTTTCAAATTTTGACGTTTCTAAATTTTCAGTTTTCCGAGTTCAGAAGTAATCTTTTTTTATTTTCCCATTTTCCGACTTCCCAAACTTTCGATTTTTTCAATTCTTCAATTTTTCGATGTTTCAGGTTTTTGATTTTTCAATTTAATTTCGATTTTTTAAACTTAGGATTTTTCGACTTTGCTTTTATTTGATTTCTCAATGTTCCAAGTTTCTAATTTCTCAATTTTTTGGATATTTCTTTTAGTTGTGGGATTTTTCAAATATTTCAATTTTGCGACTTTCGATCTTTGGACTCCTGGATTTTTTGATTTCTCGATTTTTTTACTTTTTGGATTTTCAATTTTTCCCACTTTTTCAATTTTTCGATGCTTTTATTTTTCAATTTGTAAATTTTGTGTTTTTCAATTTTTAACTTTTCTTCTCGGCTTTCGTCTAATCAATTTCTCGATCCTCTGATTTCGATTTCTCGGTGTCTCAGTTTTTGAATTTTTCGATGTTTCGATTTTTACTTTTGGGTTTCAATTTTTCGATTTTCCAATTTTTGGATGTTTCGATTTTTCAGTTATACAATTTTACAATTTTTCAATTTTTTTATATACTGGGGTTTAGATATTCCGATTTCTCGATTTTTTTATTGTTCAGTTCTTGAGTATTTCTATTTTTCAATTTTTGACGTTGCTAATTTTTCAGTTTTCCGATTTCTCATTTAAGCGATGTTTAATTTTTCCATTTCTTGACATCACAACGTTTCGATTTTTCAACTTTGCCTTTTGATTTTTCGATTTCAGCTTTGGGATTTTTAATATTTCGGTTCTACGACTTTTCGATTTTTCGACTTCTGGATTTTGCGATATTTTAATTTTTGGATTTTCAGTTTTTCGTTTTTTAATCTTTAAATTTTTCAATTTTTCGATTGTTTTATATTTCGATTTCTTAATTTTTCAACTTTTCGATATTTTAATTCTTGAATTTTTAAAATTCTAGTTTTTAGTTTTTCTATATTTTAATTTTTCAATTTTCCGAATTTTAAAATTTTCGATTTTTCAATTTTTTGAGATCCCGATTTGTAGAGATTCGGATGTTTCAAAGTTTTGATTGTTCAATCTCTCGATTTATCAATTTTTCCATTTTTAACTTTTCGATTTTGGCCTATTTATAATTCAAAACATCGAAAAATTGGAAAATCGAAACATCAAAAAATAAATGGGAAAATCAAAAATTAAAAAATTCCGAAAATTGAAAAATTGAAATATAGAAGAACTGAAAACTCAAGAAATGAAAAAAGCTAAAATTTTAAAAATTGAGAAGTTGAAATACCGAAAGGTTGAAAAATTGAGAAATCTAAAAGCTTTTAAACGAAAAATTGAAAATCCAAAAAGTAAAAAGTCTAGAAATCGAAAAACCCAGAACTGAAAAAAATCGAAAAGTCGAAATACTAATAAATCCCAAAATTCAAGTATCGAAAAATTGAAAAAAAGAAGTAAAATTGCAGAATCGAAAAACTGAAAAATCACAAAATAGAACGAAATATCCAAAAATTGGGAAATTCAAAAATTGAAAAATTGGGAAATCGGAAAGTCAAAAAAGCAAAGTCGAAAAATCAAAAACTTCAAAAATCAAAACATTGAAAAATCTAAAAGTTGAAGAACTGAAAAATCGAACTTTGAGAAGTCGAGAAATGGGAAAATAAAAAAATAGATTAATTGAGAAATCGGAAAACTGAAAATACAGAAACGTCAAAATTTGAAAAATTAAAAAATATTGAAGAACTGAAAAATCGAAAAATCAAAATCTAAAATTTGAAACATTGAAAAATTAAAATATCGTAAAATTGAAAAATGGAGGCTTCCAAACATCAAAAAATCAAAAAAATAAAAATTTGAAATTTTAAAAAAATCGAGAAATCGAAACTCGAAAATTTAAAAAATTGGAAAATTGAAAAATCGGATAATTCAAAAACCATAACACCGAAAAGCCGAAAAGTAAAAAATCGACAAACCGAATATCGAAAAATCAAAAGATCGAGAGATCGAGGAGTCGAAAATCGATATAAAAAACCACCAAAATTGTGACTCAAAATATCTAAAAATTAATAGAAAATAGAACACAATGCATCTAAAACATAATAATTCTGACCGCTTATTAGAGTCGACATTGGCCTGACTGCACTCCAGTTTGTGGATCAAACAAGTTCTCAGGCGACGATTGGCAACAGACAAGTAATCTTCGAAACCGGATAGATGGCTGCGAAATTTTAAATCTATATTTTAAGAATATCGTGTATATACTTCCATCGACAATTTGATGCGTTATCTCAATATTTTGTTAGTAAATCCTATATAAAATGTTGAGAATAATATGTTTCTGTTCCTGTGGTTTATTAATGGGGTGCTATTTTTAACATTACGTACACCAAAATTTTACCTATACTATTCATATAACAAAAAAAATCGTCTAGTAGGTCTTCAAATTTGTTTTTAAAATAAAGACCCTTTATTTGACACTTATTTCACCGTAATCGAGTCAATTGAACAGAGAACGCGTTGGTCTTGCAATATAATTTTTTTAACATAAAATATCAAGAGTTACTAGACAACTTTTTTTCTTAATCATATGAAATTAGAAACTAGAAAATCGCTTGGCCTGAAATGATTTGTTGATTGATGAAATGTTGATAAAAAAGTACATAGTGTCATAGCCTGGATTAATTTGGAGAATCAGACTTTAGCTTGACATAAATGACAGTTGCGCGTAATATAAAGTTCAGCTGCAGCGCAATTATCCTAAAGGTATAAAAGCAGCAGTAGCCTCATTAAGATTCCGACTGCTTTTAGATCTTCAGAGATGTTCCATTAATATTCATTGTATATTGAATTGTTCCTAATAAAACTTTTATGTGATCGTAAGGTATCGTGAGTAATCGAATGAGCAATAGAGTAGAAAGAAGATTTTGAATTTTGATTAAAAAAAAAAAGTCGACGAAGAACCAGTCTAATGAATTATGTTGATGTTTCAGTTCTTGTTCCGTGTATTCGCTCCCTTAGCTCAATGAACAGAATGTGCATATTCTATCCCGTGTTCTCAATTGATTTTATTGTAGGGCGCCTAGCTTTCAGCATCCATTATAAGATTAAAACTATTTAACCCACAAATAATGCATCTTAAGCTCTTGTTTGAGTGAGTTGTTCAATTTTCCAAATTAATTGTGCGTATAATTAATTTCAAAACAACCACAAATTAAACAGAAGCAGCCTCAAAATTCGTAGAAATAACTGCTATGTAAATACAACCAACCACAATTTGCATAATTACCTCCAACAGTAAAAAGCGAAAACCTTGAAGAAATTAAAAATCACACGAAAAATCCGATTACGCCAACAACACGCCGAACTAAATCCGAACTCACGTTTTCGATCCGACAATAAAACCGTCTCTTTTTTTCCCCCGCCGAAAAAACACTTCCATCTCGCTTCTCACCCTTAAACGGTTAATTAAATGCCCAGTTAATTATCCGGCAACTTGTTGTTCCCGACGTTCCCCACGTCCTCTCCTCCGTCTCGCTCTTCCGCTCGGCGTTTGCGCAACCTCGACCTCGCCTCACCGTAGATAACACGTAACGTTCCTCTGTGATAAGATCGTACAGATCGCATCGTCCCAACAGGTGGCCAATTATGCGCATTACGTTTTCGGTGATCGACTGCAAGGCGCTGTGACGTCACCGACGTCGTGACGTCGTGGACGTTATCGTCGTTACCCCGTTTCGGCGTTCCGGGCCTTCGGAAGGTCTCGCCGCTCGCCAACCGTGAAACTCGAAACAGCTGTTGCAGAGGAAGAATATTATTATGGTTCTTCCGTCTCGCTTTTGTCGGCTTTTGTCGGTATTGTGTATTCTTACTGGTTTTGCTTGGTTGCAGCGACGACTCGGCCCCAGGTGCTATCCCCTCGCTGGCGACGACGCAGAAGGGCGCCGGCGGCGAGGAGGTCCAGGATAACCCGATGAAGAGGTATCTGGAGTGCCCGGCCATGTGCAGGATAGAGGTGCTGAAGAAGTTCGTCAGGAATAAGTATAACGTGGACACGAATCTCTTTCATGTGAGTTGGGGTTATCGGGGTTTTTTGTTGTGGGTCAGAGGAGGCAGAGTAAAGCGTCACTTACACGTGTTCGCCGGCGGGCAGCAATTAAGTATGCAACGGACGTGGTGCTCACGTAAAAAAGGTGGACAGTTTTGAATTCGAAAAGCTGCGCTTTGTCTGAAATTCGACGAGCCCAAACATAATTTGTGATTAAGTTGTGTGGCATGTCGGTGATTAAATCACACTGATAAGTGATAAATATCAAAAAATGATTGTTCAGTTACAAGATTCATTAATTTTATTAAATAAATAAGGTAAAATTTACGCTACGTGAGTTAAAAATATCGAGAGAGCAATTAAAAATACAGCAATTAAAGGCAGCTATGGATCTTTGAAAGTTTGTCTTTGATCATTGCATTATCAACTCAAGTTTTTTAAATAAATGATTTATTTTATTCTCAGGGACGTAAACGTCATTCGTAAACGTTCTTATAAGACAGCTTTATTTGAAAAAAGAATATAAGAATGAATGCGAGCGCAGCGAACACATTAGGTGTTATTAAAGAGATTTTATTTTGTCTAAAAAAGGTAACTCCTGAAAATGTTTTATGCGAGTGCAGCGAGCACATTTAGGTGTTATTCAAAATTATTTGTCGATGTCTGGAAAGCTAAAGCATTATTAATCAGAAATTTTTAGTGCTGCGCTCACATTATTTTTTTTAAGTAGTATAAGTTTAGAGATTTATTAATTCAACAAAACCTAGAGGAATTCGCAAAGATTTTTTCTTAATCACTTCTATGAGATTTTAAAATTTTAAAAATCGAAGAATTGAAAAATTTAAAAATCGAAAAATCAAATATTTTAAAAACCGAACTCCGAAAAGTCGAAAAATTGAAAGATCAAGCAATCGAAACATCAAAAAATCGAAAAATTAAGATATAGAAAAAGTAAAAAATTCAGAAATTGAAAACCTCCCAGAATTGAAATGTTGGAAAAAGACCTCTAAAAATTAAAAAATCGAACCAATTTAAAATTCGAGATGCCCAGAAACTGAATCAGAAAACTGTAAAATTGAAAAATCAAAATTTTAAAAATTCGAAAAATAGAAAAGTCGAGAAATTAAAAAAATCCAAAATTTAAATGAGGAAAACTTACGAAACCGAAGAATTGAAAAATCGAAACATCGAACAAATATCGAAGAAATGAAAAATTGAGAAATCGAAAAGTCGAACAATCTAAAAATTGAGACATCGAAGTAGCCTAAAATCGAAAATTTTAAAAGTTACAAAATCAAAAATTGAAAAATTGAAAATAAAAAAAAAAATCGATAAATCGAAAAATTGAAAAATCGGCAAATTGAGCAATCGAAAAACTGGAAAACCGAAAAATTGAAAAATTCCGAAAATGAAATGACGAAAAATTGAAAAAGCGGAACATCGAAATTCGAAAACCTAAAACATCGAGAAATGAAACATCAAAAGATCGAGAAATCGAAAAGTCGAAAAATCTAAAAATTGAGACATCGAAGTAGCCTAAAATCGAAAAATCTAGAAGTTACAAAATCAAAAATTGAAAAATTGAAAATAAAATAAAAATCGATAAACCGAAAAATTGAAAAATCGGCAAATTGAGCAATCGAAAAACTGGAAAACCGAAAAATTGAAAAATTCCGAAAATGAAATGACGAAAAATTGAAAAAGCGGAACATCGAAATTCGAAAACCTAAAACATCGAGAAATGAAACATCAAAAGATCGAGAAATCGAAAAGTCGAAAAATCTAAAAATTGAGACATCGAAGTAGCCTAAAATCGAAAAATCTAAAAGTTACAAAATCAAAAATTGAAAAATTGAAAATAAAAAAAAACTATAAATCGAAAAATTGAAAAATCGGCAAATTGAGCAATCGAAAAACTGGAAACTCGAAAAATTGAAAAATTCCGAAAATGAAATGACGAAAAATTGAAAAAGCGGAACATCGAAATTCGAAAACCTAAAACATCGAGAAATCGAAAAGTCGAAAAATCTAAAAATTGAGACATCGAAGTAGCCTAAAATCGAAAAATCTAAAAGTTACAAAATCAAAAATTGAAAAATTGAAAATAAAAAACAAAAACGATAAATCGAAAAATTGAAAAATCGGCAAATTGAGCAATCTAAAAACTGGAAAATCGGAAAATTGAAAAATTCCGAAAATGAAATGACGAAAAATTGAAAAAGCGGAACATCGAAATTCGAAAACCTAAAATATCGAGAAATGGAACATCAAAAGATCGAGAAATCGAAAAGTCGAAAAATCTAAAAATTGAGACATCGAAGTAGCCTAAAATCGAAAAATCTAGAAGTTACAAAATCAAAAATTGAAAAATTGAAAATAAAAAAAAATCGATAAATCGAAAAATTGAAAAATCGGCAAATTGAGCAATCGAAAAACTGGAAACTCGAAAAATTGAAAAATTCCGAAAATGAAATGACGAAAAATTGAAAAAGCGGAACATCGAAATTTGAAAATCTAAAAACATCGAGAAATGAAACATCAAAAGATCGAGAAATCGAAAAGTCGAAAAGTCAAAAAATTGGGTAACGAAATAGTCTGTTGAAAAATCAACATAAAAATTGAAAAATCGGCAAGTTGCAGAATCGAAAAACTAGAAAATCCAGAAAATTGAAAAACTCCCAGAATTGAACTGTTGAAAAAAAGAGACATCTAAAAATCGAAAGGTCGAACAAATTTAAAAATCGAGATATCAAGAAATCAAAATCAAAAGACTGTAAAATTGAAAAATCAAAATTTTAAAAATTTGAAAAATAGAAATATCGAAGAATTGGAAAATTGAAAAGTCGAGAAATTAAAAAAATCCAAAATTGAAATGACGAAAATTTACGAAATAGAAAAATTGAAATATTTTGAAACATCGAAGAACTGAAAAATTGAGAAATCGGAAAATTGAACAATCGAAAAACTGAAACTTCGAGAAACGAAAGATCAAAAGGGCGAGAAATTGAAAAGTCGAAAAATCAAAAATTGAGACATCGAAGTAGCCTAAAATCGAAAAATCTAAAAGTTACAAAATCAAAAATTGAAAAATTGAAAATAAGAAAATCGATAAATCGAAAAATTGAAAAATCGGTAAATTGAGCAATCGAGAAATTGAAAAATTCCGAAAATGAAATGACGAAAAATTGGAAAATCGAAAAAGGGAAAAATCTAAAAATTGGATAAACGAAATAGCCTAAAATCGAAAAACCGACAAGTTAAAAATTGAAAAATTGCAGAATCGAAAAACTCGAAAATCCAGAAAATCGAAAACTCCTAGCATTGAACTGTTGAAAAAAAGAGACATCTAAAAATCGAAAAGTCGAACAAATTAAAAATCGAGGTGCCAAGAAATCGAATCAAAAAACTGTAAAATTGAAAAATCAAAAATTTTAAAATTTGAAATATGGAAATATTGAGGAACTAAAAAATTGAAAAATCGAGAAATTAAAAGAATCCAAAATTGAAATGATGAAAACCTACGAAATCGAAAAATTGAAAAATCGAAATATCGAAGAACTGAAGCATCGAGAAACGAAAGATCAAAAGGGCTAGAAATCGAAGAGACGAAAAATCTAAAAATTGAGAAATCGAAAAGCCCAAAATCGAAAAATCTAAAAGTTACAAAGTTAAAAATTTAAAAATTGAAAATAAAAAAATCTATAAATTGAAAAATTGAAAAATCGGAAAATTGAAGAATCGAAAAACTGGAAAATCGAAAAATGGAAAAAGCGAAACATCGAAATTCGAAAAACTGAAACATCAAGAGAAGAAACATCAAAAGATGGAGAAATTAAAAATTTAAATCGAAAAATTTAAAAATTGCGAAAACGAAATAGCCCAAAATCGAAAAGTTAAAAATTGAAAAATTGAAAATAAAAGAATCCATAAATCGAAAAATTGAAAAATCCCGAAAATGAAATGAAAAATTGGAAAATCCAAAAATGGAGAAATCGAAACATCGAAATTTAAAAAACTGAAAAATCGAGAAACAAAACGTCAGAAGGTCGAGAAATCGAAAAGTCGAGAAATCTAAAAACTGGGTAAACGAAATCGCCTAAAATCGATAAATCGAAAAATGGAACAATTGTAATTTTGTAATCTCGATAAATCCAGAAATCGAAAAATTGAGAAATCAAAAAACTGAAAAATCAAAACTTAAAAATCGAAAGATCGAAAAACCGAAAAAGCTACAACCGAGAAGTCGAAATATGTATAAAAACACGAAGAAATCGAAACATCAAAAAACCGAAAAATCTAAAATTTAAAAATTCGAAAATTTGAAAAATAGCACTGAAAAATCGAAAAATGAAAAACCGAGAAATTGAAACATACGAAAATCGAAAAATTCAACAATTGAAAAGAAAAGTCTAAATTTTGAAAATCTATAAACTGAAAAATCGAAAAAGTAAAAATTCAGATCGAAAAATCGAAAGGTCGAAAAAGTGAGGAATTAAATATCGAAAAATTCGAGGAATCGAAGAAAAACTGAAGAATCTAAAAATTCAAAAACCCCAAAACTGAAACAGAGAAATTGAGAAGTCGAGAATTTGAAGAATCGAGACATCAACTTCGAAAAACCGAAAATTTAAAAATCGAAAAACCTAAACTTTGAAAAATCGAAAAATTGAGAAATCGAAAGTTGACAAATCGAGCAATAGAAAAGTCGGTGTCTAGGGTAAACACTCAAGATGGATTCATAAACCACAAGTTCAGGACTATGTTACTTTTTAAAATTTAAATAACATTTAAATATTTCGTGAAAATTGTAAGATGACATCATCAATTCCTGAGAATTTTGATTAACAGATTTACCGTGCTTCCAGAAATCTTAAAACGTTTTTTGGAGATGACGTCATTCCATTGTAGGTGGGCATGTTCAAACAAATTTTGATTGGCGTTTTACTATCTACATGATATTTCTAACATATATACAAAATTTGACAACAAACGATCCAGTAGTTTCGGAGATTATCGGACAGACGTTTCCCCTACTACGGTCCTGATCAGAAAAATGAAATCATTGTACAGAGCGGTAACGGCGACTTCGAACCACTGACATCACTTCATGTCCTTGATCACTATCATCAACTTTTTTCGGATATATACACGGTGTCTTTTTTATTTGATACAACTCTTGTAATTTTTATTTTTGAAAATAGCCGTTTATTCTCTGGACGTATTTGTATGCTTCAGTTCTCAGTTCCGGTAATCCCGGAAATGACACCAACTTAATATTTTTATATTCTAACTGAAAAATTAATGTTTTTTTATGAAAATCCAATAGCCGGACCACGTAAAAACGAGATGTCAGTCCTTGTTGAAAGAAAAAATAAAAAGTAACTCAATTAAGGAGACTGTCACGTACTTAAAAAAATCCGGCGGTAATTCGGTTAACACCGCGACAACATAAAAGTAATTTGATGTTTTAATTAATTAAATTAATTATCCAAACGAGTACGTGAAAAGCCTATGCTTACCAATCATATTTATCATGTACATATTCTGAATCGCTTCCTAGAACTTGAAAATTATGCCCGAATTAAATTAATTAAAAATAATAATACCGCTTAATCCGATTTAATTAACTAAATTCTAACATGCTTTACGGGCAAAAACGCCTCCAATTACCTTATCTATAGAAGCACTAATATGATTGACACTTTTTAGTGTCCACTTCTCCGAAATAGAGTTATCACTTCTCATTAAAAACAAATAATTATGAATAGAGATCACGTCGTCGGAACAAGTGGGATGGGCTCCGAACTGGTAACAAGATTTTAATCGCCGCTCATAAATTATACTGTCATTGAATATAATCAGCCGATCATCCGCTCGGAAATCCACACCGAGCATTTTTCATCGAACATCCTTTGAATCTTCAATTCTTAATAAATCCGTCACACCGCACAAAATCAATATCAGATGCATTGTGACGTCATCAAAAAATCCGCCACTATCCCAAATCGGAGTATCGACATTCTCCACAAACATATATTAGCAGCACGTGTCATGCATTAATTCTGTTCCAGATCGACATACTGTACAAAAGGGTTCCCCTTCCCGACCACTACACCCTCATCGACATCGGATACATATACTCGTGGAAAAGGGTAAGTCGTGTTTGGTTAGCCGGGTTTCGGCGGTTCTAACCCATGATGTTTAGAACGAACCCATGAAGTTCTTCTTCCGGATAACCGATATCAACAAGGTCGCTGAAAGGTTCGACTACTTCGACGGGAGGGTCTCCCCGGAGGTCGTCCATCCGAAGCAGAGCACCAAGGTGAAGAGGAAGGACGCTAGTCACGAGAAAAAGCCTGTCAAACAGGAGAAGAAAGAAGAGAAGAAGGAGGATAGCGCGAAAGTGGAGAAGAAAGAAGACAGTGCGAAGGCGGAAAAGAGTGATGTGATATTAAAACCGGAAATAACCGAAGAGATTAAAAATAAAATACAGAGTGACATTAAAGGTTCGGTGTACACGAACATCACGCTAAACCGCGAGGACAACGTCGAGATCATCACGAAAATCCAGAAAGTGTCGAATAAAGAAGGACAACCGATCGGGTTGAACATCATCAACCACACAGTGAAGAAGAACAAAGTACAAAGTAACAATAAGAGTGATTCTAAAGTAGTTCCTAGTAGTAGTAACGAAGACCCCAAACCCAAGACTGAAGACCCCAAGGACGACAAAGACAAAGAAAAGGAGGAAATCGAGAAGTCGAACTTCCTCAAGAACATCGAACTGACGGCGAAGAGCGCCCTCGAGAAAGACAAGAAAGAGAGACCATCAGTGCCCCCACCGCTCCCCTCGTCGTCGTCGTCGTCGTCGTCACAGAAGCGCAAAAACTCGAGCCCGATGAAAAACGACAAGAAACCGAAAATCGAGAAGAAGCCAATGAAGATAATAATCCAGCCGAAGACTATTCAGAACCCCACGGTGCGACAGATGGTCACCAACGTCAACCAAAACGCCAACAACATGTCGAAGATTGTCGAACAGACGACGACAAAAACTGATCTTCAGTCGTTAATTGACAACTGCAAGATCAACATTCCGGCGTCGCTGTCAATAACATTGAACGAAGGAGGGGAAGGGGGGGCCCGCACTCCCCCTTCGATCCCCCCCGTGAAGAACTACATCGAAATTTTGAAGCTCCCCGATAAGGAAAGCACCAACGAAAAGAAACAAGAAAAGACACTACAAAACCCTACGAAAGGTGTAATCAAAGACAAAAACCGGAACATACAGACGTTCCAGAAGATTTTTGAAGAGTCAATCGTGAAAAAGGTGGAAGGAAGTGCAAGTCCGACGAAAGGGGCAAAATCAACCCCTTTGGACCTCACTAGCACGAACGAACCAACCCCCAATAACAACAACAACAAGAGAAAAATTTTGGAAATAGCGTCACAACTACAGAAGAAGACTAAAATCGAACAGGAGAAGCAGAAGGAAGAAGGGTTGAATAAAATAAGTATCCCGAAACTGGCGACCCAGCGGACGCTCAAACCACCCTCGACTAAACACGAGTACGGGCAAAACCGCCCCCAGAACAGCGCCAGTCTCCACTCCTCCAGTCTGGGTTTAAACTACACCGTGTCGGTCAACCAGAGCAAGAACGGGGACACCAAAGGCCAGGACTCCAAGCGACTCACCCCCTCCACGTCGAAGAGCGTCGCTAAGAGCAAAAACAGCACGAACGGGGCGGTTTCCGCCCCCAAGGGCTTGACTCCGAACCAGCTCCTCGAGACTTACAATATCCAGAGTATGGCGCAGCTCACCGCGAGTTTGAATTTTAACGCGGCGGGTTATGGGGCCCTGCAGCACGCCATGTTGAGGCATAGCTGGTTGAATCAGGGGCCGCTCTTGCAGTTCGAGAAGTACATGCAGAGTCTGAGTGCGGCGCAGAGTAAACTTATGGGGAACATTAAGGAGAATTGACAGAGGGTTTGTTTTGTTGAGGGTTGTTGAGATGAGTTGTTATTTTGTCGTTTGGATTATGATGTCTTCTTAGTTTGGTCATTACTTAAGGACTTTTGTTAATGTTGTGTACTGTTATTTTCATTACACGTGAGTTATGATTGTATTATAATGTATGTACAATGTAGAATTTTAGATTAAGGGAAATGTAAATTATTTTGCAATTTTCATTAAAAAAACTACGGAAGAGGTGTGCTTTATTGGGGTGGGGGGGGTGGAAAAATGTGTGGAGAAGTTAAAGGTAAGTGTGTAAGTTGTTTTAAAAGTGTAGAAGAACAAGAGTTTTAATACTAAGGTAAGTTCACTTCACAGTCTGTGAAGGTAAAGAACAGGAAAATTTTGCTCTTTTTTCCTTCGCATTTTTGGCGTCTTTTTTAATTTTTTTTTCTACTTTTTTTTTTGGATATTTTTCGTCCTTTTTCTGCCGTTTTTTCGCCTTTTTTGTTGCTTTTAAGTTTTTTCGTCTTTTGAAACATGTTTGTCTTTTTTTCTCCCTTTTTCATAATAATTTTTGACGTTTTTTGGCTTTTTGTGGAACCTTTTCTATCGCTTTTTGTTCCCCTTTTTTAATAACATTTTTCTTCCGGGTTTTTATAGCCTTTTTCCCACATTTATAATCCGCATTTTTTGCTGTTTTTGTAATTTTTTGGCGCTTTCTTCATCTTCTGTTTTCATCTGTTGTTTTTTTCGCCTTTTCCCCTTTTTCATCCCCTGTTTTTCGGATATTTTGGAAGGTTTGCTTTGGCGTTTTTAGCTTCTTTAGTGGTCTTTTAGTCACCCGTTTTTCGTGTTCTTGTTACCTTTTTTCATAATTTTTGACGGTTTTCTAGTGCCACTTTCTCGCTATTTTTCCGTTTTTAGCGCCTTTTTTCTACATTTTTAGCGTTTCTTTTCGTTTTTTTTGTTCTCTTGCTACTTTTTTTATTTTTTTCTGTAGTTTTTGACTTTTTTTCCGTCGTTTTTTTTACTTTTTTTCTGGCGATTTATTCTGTCACTTTTTTACTCTTTTTTTGGTGTCTTTCGCGTTTTTTTTCAGTGACCTTGTTTAGTTGTCTTTTTTGTCGCCATTTTGTTGATCATGTTCTCCTTGCCCTTTTTTTCCATAATTTTTGCCTTTTTTTTGGCCTCTTTTCTGATGGCTCTTTTTCATCGCTTTTCTTTCGTATTTTGTTCCCTTTTTTAATCGCCCTTTATTCACGTTTTTATCATCCTTTTTCCGGGTTTCTATTCGCCTTTTTCCCACGTTTGTACAGTCTGTTTTTGTCTTTTCGTCCCTTGTTTTTCCGCCTTTTTTGGATTTTTTTGTACTGTTTTGGCGTTTTTTGCTTTTTAGTGGTCTTTTTCTGTCACCTTCTCAATTGCTTTTTCTGGTGGCCATTTCTGCTTTTTTCCATTTTTTAATCGCTTATTTTTTCGGGTTTTTCATCGCCTTTTCCCACATTTTTAGAGTCCCTCTTCGTATTTTTTTTTGTCATCTTTTTTGCTATTCTTTTTTTGCCTTCTTTTAGTCCCCTTTTTCGTTCTTATCTTTTGGGGTGTTTTGCTGCCTTTTTCGTGTTCTTGTTGCACAGTTTTTCGCTTTTTTAAGTAATTTTTGACGTTTTTTTTAGAGTTTTTTGGTGGTTCTTTTTGTTCCCTTTTTTTAAAATTTTTTCCCGCTTCTCATTTCACTTTTTTTTTTCTTTTTTTGTCCCACTTTCTTGTCATTCGCCACAATCAGTTTTATCGTAGCAAGTACTAGCCCTGCACACCCGTGCTATTCTCATTCAAACGATTTTATTTCTGTTGTGAAAGTAAAGAACAGAGGAAAATTTTACCGAAAAATAAAATCAAATTGGGTAAAGCTTCTGTATATTCAAATTTGGAAGTAATCAGGCAAGTAGTTTTGGAGATTACCTGTCTAGTAAATCCGCTAAGAAACAGACAGACGAACTGGAAGACCGACATTTTCGTATACTACGAACTGTAAAAATTATGGAATAAAATTTTTTGTCTGGCAGAAGTATAATTAGTTTTCAAGGTAGCTCAAAATCTGTGAAGGAAAAAAAAGAGGAAAATTTTGGAAATTTCAATTCAAACTTTTTACAAAGTGCTCCAGTTTTCCCCACAAACAATAGTTTTAACACTAAGATAGTTGAAATTCTGTGAAGTACAAAAAAAGAGGGAAATTTTAACGAAAAATATAAATCGAGCGGATAAAGAAAAATTCTTCAATTTTCCATTTATGACTTAATTGTTCCTGTATATCTAAAATTTCAAAGTAATGAGCCAAGTAGTTTTGGAGATTATCTGTCTTACAAAGCCGCTAACCGACAGACAGACGGAAGCGGAAGTCCGACATTTTCGTATACTACGAACTGTAAAAATTATGGAATAAAATTTTATGTCTGGCATAAGTACAATTAGTTTTCAATATGAAGAATACGAGAAAGAATTTTTCACCACACACGGAGAAACTTAATCAAAAATCAAAATTTTGGAAATTTCAATTCTAACTTTTTACACAAAGTGCTCCAGTTCTCCCCACAAACAATAGTTTTAACACTAACTTAGTTGAAACTCTGTGAAGTAAAAAAAAAGAGGGAAATTTTAACGAAAAATGGAAATCGAGCGGATAAAGAAAAATTCTTCAATTTTCCATTTATGAGTTAATAGTTTCTGTACATCTAAAATTTCAAAGTAATCAGCCAAGTAGTTTCGGAGATTATCTGTCTCACAAAGCCGCTAACCAACAGACAGACGGAAACGGAAAACCGATATTTTCGTATACTACGAACTGTAAAAATTATAGAACAAAATTTTAAGTCTGGCAGAAGTACAATTAGTTTTCAATATAAAGAATACGAGAAAGAATTTTTCACCACACACGAAGAAACTTAATCAAAAATGAAAATTTTGGATATTTCAATTCAAACTTTTTACAAAGTGCTTCAATTTTTCCCATAGACAATAGTCTTAACACTAACTTAGTTGAAATTCTGTGAAGTAAAAAAAAGAGGGAAATTTTAACGAAAAATATAAATCGAGCGTATAAAGAAAAACCCTTCCATTTTCCATTTATGACTTAATTGTTTCTGTATATCTAAAATTTCAAAGTAATCAGCCAAGTAGTTTTGGAGATTATCTGTCTCACAAAGCCGCTAACCAGCAGACAGACGGAAGTGGAAGTCCGACATTTTCGTATACCACGAACTGTAAAAATTATGGAATAAAATTTTATGTCTGGCAGAAGTACAATTAGTTTTCAACATGTATAATACGAGAAAGAATTTTTCACCACACACGGAGAAACTTAATCAAAAATCAAAATTTTGGAAATTTCAATTCAAACTTTTTACAAAATGCTCCAGTTTTCCCCACAAACAACAGTTTTAACAGTAAGATAGTTGAAATTCTGTGAAGTAAAAACAAGAGGGAAATTTTAACGAAAAATAGAAATCGAGAGGATAAAGAAAAATTGTTCCATTTTCCATTTATGACTTAATTGTTTCTGTATATCTAAAATTTCAAAGTAATCAGCCAAGTAGTTTTGGAGATTATCTGTCTCACAAAGCCGCTAACCAACAGACAGACGGAAACGGAAGACCGACATTTTCGTATACCACGAACTGTAAAAATTATGGAATAAAATTTTATGTCTGGCATAAGTACAATTAGTTTTCAATATGAAGAATACGAGAAAGAATTTTTCACCACACACGGAGAAACTTAATCAAAAATCAAAATTTTTGGAAATTTCAATTCTAACTTTTTACAAAGTGCTCCAGTTTTCCCCACAAACAATAGTTTTAACACTAAGATAGTTGAAATTCTGTGAAGTAGAAAAAAGATGGAAATTTTAACGAAAAAATAAAAATCGAACGGATAAAGAGAATATTCTTCAATTTTCCATTTATGAGTTAATAGTTTCTGTACATCTAAAATTTCAAAATAATACGCCAAGTAGTTTCGGAGATTATCTGTCTAGCAAAGCCGCTAATAGACAGACAGACGGAAATAGAAACCGACATTTTCGTATACTACGAACTGTAAAAATTATGGAATAAAATTTTGTCTGGTGGAAGTATACTTAATTTTCAATATACAGAGAAATTTATTTGAAATAAAAAATTTTGGGAATTTCAGTTCAAACTTTTTACAAAGTGCTCCAGTTTTCCCCAAAAACAAGTAGTTTTAACACTAAGGTAGTTCAGATTTTGTGAAGGAAAAGAAAAGAGGGAAATTTTAACGAAAAATAAAAATAGAGTGGTAAAGAAAATATTCTTCTATTTTCCAGGCGTGACTTAATAGCTTCTGCATTTCTAAAATTTCGAAGTAATCAGTCAAGTAGTTTCGGAGATAATCGGAGAAAGGATTTTTCACTACACAGAGAAATTAATTTAAGATTCAAAATTTTGGAAATTTCGGTTCATTTTTTTACGAAATGCTCCAGAGTTCTCCACAAACAATAGTTTTAACACTAAGGTAAGTACAAATTCTGTCAGAAAAAGAAAAGAAGAATATTTTTTCGGAAAATAAAAATAGAGTTGGTGAAGAAAATATTCTTCCATTTTCTAGGCATAACCTGTATATTTAAAACTTCAAAGTAATCAGCCAAGTAGTTTCGGAGAACATCTGTCTAACAAAGTCGCTAGCTCACAAACAAACAGAAAATGAAGACCGACATTTTCGTATACTATGAACTTTCAAAATTATGGAATAAAATTTTATATGTGGTGGAATATACCTAGTTTTCAAACTACAGGGTACGAGAAAGGATTTTTCACTACACATAGAAAAACTTATTTGAAATAAACAATAGTTTTAACACCAAGGTAAGTTCAAATTCTGTGAGGGAAAACAAAAGAGGAAAATTTTAACAAAAAATAAAGTTGACTAGGCAAAGAAAACATTCTATTTTCCAGGCGAAACTTAATACCTTTGCATACCTAAAATTTTAAAGTAATCAGCCAAGTACTTTCCGAGATTATTTGTATAGTTTGGGAAATTTCATTCTACCATATAAAATTTTTATTAGCAATAACGAGACTGACAGTAATACAATAGCAAGCGATATTTACAACTTAAAGTTGTCGCGTGCCGGTAATCCCCAGATGTTAGAAAACAGAGTTATCCAGGTCCGGACAGAGACCATCGTTACTCACGAATGAAAATAACCATTATTTTATTAGTACAACTACCTGCTAAATGTTCTCCGATAAATTTGAGTGAACTGGTGTGAGCCATTGTACTCCTGTGCGCCACGTTATTCTTAATAAAATTTTATAGGGCAGAATGAAATTTCCAAAACTGTACAACAAAGCCGCTAACGGACAAACAGACGGGAATGGCAGACCGACATTTTCGTATACTACAAACTGTAAACATTCTGGAATAGAATTTAATGTCTGGGGGATGTACAGATACTTAATTTTCAATATACGAGAAAGAATTTTTCAACATACACAGAAGAACTTTAATTAATTTTTTCAAAATTGTGAAAATTTCGTTCAATTTTTGCTTCAGTTTTCGAGTTTTCCCCACAAACAATAGCTTTAACACTAAGGTAAGTTCAAATTCTATGAAGGAAAAGAAAAAAGGAAAATGTTAACGAAAAGTAAAAATAGAGTGGGTAAAGAAAATATTCTTCTATTTTCCAGGCCTGACTTAATAGTTTCTATGTTTAAAATTTCGAAGTAATCAGTCAAGTAGTTTCGGAGATTTTATCTGTCTAACAAAGTTGCCAACGGACAGACAAAGATCAACATTTTCGTATACTACGAACTGTAAAAATTATGTAATAAAATTTTTGTCTGGGGAAGTACACTTAATTTTCAATATACAATGAACGAGAAGGAATTTTTCACCATACACAGAGAAGCTTATTTCCAAATCAATATTTTGGAAATTTCAATTCAAACAGTTAGTTAGTTCAGATATTAGGTATCTATTTAATAAAGCCTCTAATGGATAGACAAACGGAAATGGAAGACCGACATTTTCGTATACTACAAACTTTACAAATTGTATGACTGTCTGAAGTATACTTACAATTGTATGAGAAAACAGTCCTCGCAAATTTAGCTTGGACGCATAGTTTTAAATATAGTGAACGGTATTTACACAGACACTGAACTTCTTATTTGAGCCAACAATCACTCAGTACAAAAGTTGTTCGACAATATATAAAAAATCAAAAATTCTAGAAAATTTTACCTAAGAGTTTTGACATTAAAGTAAGTACAGATTCTGTTACCTAAGAAAAAGAAAAGAGGAAAATTTTAACAAAAAATAGAGTAAAGAAAATATTTTTCTGTTTCTTGGTCTTAATTTGATAGCCGGTAATACTATATGATAAAAAAAAGGCGTCTAGTGTGCCATGAAATTTATATTTAAAATAATTGCCTTGGCAATTTGACAGTTATTTGATCTTAACTGTCAAACTGAGCAAAAACGGCGTCGTGTTGCCAACATAACTTTCTTGGCATTAAATTTCAATGGGTAACATGAGATACAAACTAATTCGGGAATTTTCGAGAATCTTTTGACAGAATATCAACGCTTGCCGAAGATACCCGAACAAAAAAAGTCGACGTAAATTCGCGTGGGATGCATGGTTTTAAATATAGTGAACGATATTTGCACAAACAGAAAGTCACTTCGACATTTTCGCTGAATTTGGATTTCTTATTTGAGACAACAATCACTCAATTAAAAAAAAACATTTGACAGCTTTCTAATATTTAAAAAATTAAAATTGTAGAATATTTTAATCCGAAATTTTTACAAATTCCCCGAATTTCCTCCATAAATAAGAGTTTTAACACTAAAACAAACTCAGATTCTATGAAAAAAAAAGGAAAGTGGAAAATTTTAACGAGAAATAGACTAAAGAAAATGTTTTTCCGCTTTTCAGCGCGCGCGTGAATTAACTTGTAGTAGGGAGTTTTCAGCAATATTATTATTATTATTATTATTTTATTGTTCGTCCTATTATTATATTGTGCGAGAGTAATTCGGGAAAGTTCGACAAACTCCTAGAGTATTCGGAAGTTTTCGGCAAGCCTTGAAAAAATGTCAGCGATTGCCGAAAATACCCGAACAAAAAAAAGTCGTCGTAAATTCGCATGGGATGCATAGTTTTAAAAATAGTGCACGATATTTCCACAATCAGAAAGCCACTTCGACATTTTCGCAGAATCTGGACTTCTTATCTGAGCCAACAATCATTCAATATAAAAAAAAATCGTTTCAGCTTTCAAATATTAAAATAGACAATTTTAATTCGAAATTCCCCAAATTTCATCCACAAACGAGAGTTTTAAAACAAAACACTTTTGATTTACCTGATAGCCTGTAGTACTATATGACAAAAAAAAGTTGTCTAGTATGCTATGAAATCAATTTTTAAAATAATTATGTTGGCACTATAGTAATTTGACAATTATTTGATCAAAACTGTAAAACCGAACAAACAAGGCATTGTGTTGCCAACATAATTTCTTTTGACATTAAATTTCAATGGTTCTAGCAACATGACACAAACTAATTCGAGAATCTTCTGACAGAACAAATCAGCACCTGCCGAAGATACCCGAACATGAAATATTTCGTGGTAATTTCACGCGGAACGAATAGTTTTAAATATACTTCCAGGTGTGCACTTTTGCTAGATCATCCGGACTCGTTCGGAAAACTTCGCCAGTCTCGGGAATCTTCGTAACTATTGGCAAACGTCCCAACGCCTGCTGGCGCCTGCCGGAGTTCCCAAATTACTTCCGACACTAGCCGAAAATTCCTGAAATATACTCCCATTCGAAGTTCCCCGAACCACTCACGACACTCACCGAGGTCACGTGATTAGGTACATAAATTCTTAATCAAATCGTGGAAAACACGCACATGGTGCTTTTTGTTGAGGGTGCGTGAATTTAGGTAACAAATATAAGTGAAACATCCTGTATAAGCGGCTTGTGTAACTAAACGTGGCAACAACGCCGCATTATAACCCAGAACTGCCAACACCACTTCTACAATAATAGCCAACTCTGATTCCCAAATTACACACACATTAGCATTTGACAGAAGTCAGCCCGTATTACACGCTTCGCCTATTTTTAAATTCCAAACACTTATGTCACGGGACGCGTCAACTCCACACCATCCCCCCTCCACCCCCATACCCATCAACCCATCTCAATTGGCCTCCATTGTCCGCAAACCGACAGTCATGGGCCGCAAGCAACCTTCAATTGTTTCAAACCATTTAACCCGCAGTCAACAACTGTCAACCGTTTCCACAGCCTTCTTGCCACGCAGCACCTTTATCAATTTCCTCCGTAAACTTTCGTCCACGACCTACTTGATCACGTCCGACGACAAACAAACGAAAAACGCGTCCGTCGCCTGCTTAAAATATTCAACATAAATATTAAACAGTTTAGTGTTTAGTTCCACATTGAAGTTCCTATATGTGCTATGTTCCATAAATAGAACCGAAACGAATCCACGATAAGTAGAAAGAGATGGCGCGAGGTGAACGATTATGTCCGCGGGTGCGACAGAGAGGGTGGACGCGACGTGACGCACAGCCAACTTCATGATTCACACATAATCACATAAACGCGATTTTAGCCGGGAATTGTCGAAAGTGTATGTGCTAGAGCCGAGCGGCGTTGCCACGTCTGCGGGCGGAAAAACGCGAGTTGGGGTATAGAGCGAAACCGCGACGACAAAATGACGGTGTAAACACCCAAATAAGATAAATGTGACAACGCTGTTTAATATTAATCAAGTTTGACACTCAACCACAGCTTTCTTGATCTCCGTTTTATACTTGCCAACAACCCATAAACAAAAATCGCCTTTTTTTCAATAAATAGTAACAATTTTGGGACGAAATTTTAAACATAAGTCGTCCTTTATGTGTAAAGTACACCTACAATATTCAAATTGTTCCACGTAGTGTAATTACCCCACAAAAAAATACCCCAATTTGTTTAAAATTATATTACACGCCTCTGCGAGTTTCACGAATCGAAATTACGCGAGGCGTGTCGTTTCAAAGTAAACCACGCCTTTCAGTAAATTCCGACGAATGACGCGCTTGCGGGTTTAAAGAGGGGAGCGCTTCGCCAGTAGCGCGCGAGTGGGCGGAGTCGGGGCCTGTTTAGGAGGTCGCTAGTCTCCTTATACCTCCTCGGACAAAACCATTACGACCTTGAATTTGATAGTGGTAACAAAAGACGGTAGGCATTTGACCGGCGCTGACCTTGACAGTGATGCCACCCGCTGATAAGTAAATTTTGTGAAAAGGGGAATTACGTCAGCGCTGTCTTTGTGGCGCGGCAAAGGAGGCCATGGACCTCAATGGGAACAAAGAATGATGGATGTGGAGGAGCGAAGTGGGTTATCGAGGCGGCTGTGGCTAATTCGACGCCGACCGCGTTAATTACTAATTAATTGGCCGATTAATCACGTGGTGGTGGGAGTGGCCGATGGTTTATTTATCACTGTGTGGATGGTAGATGGGTTTGAAGCTTTTACATAAATAAGTGATGAGGGGTCGTAGTTGGCTATTTTTGGACGGAAAATCAATATTGACAGAGGGGGCGCCATCTGTCGTGAATTAGCGCACGTTTAATTTTATTATCAATAAAATTTGCAAAAAATTATGAAGTTTTAAATTTCACAAATGAACAACTAGAAGGTGCAGTTGTTAATAATTAATAACAATTGTGGTTATTATTTTTAAATCTAATTTTGTGGTGAGATTTGGGGAATTTGTGCCCGCAGGTTGGTAGCGCAAATCAACAAACTAACTAACCTAACTTGTCGATTTTCGTAACGTTGTTTGTCGTTTTTAAAGCGAATTTTCAACTAAAGTGACTTTTTTAACTTGAAATTGACTAAAAGTGAGTAGTTTTTATTGTTTTGGTTACTTGGTAGACGCTTGGTGTTTTATTAGTAGCGGCATTTTTGAGGTTATGTTTTGTCGTTTTTAGTACGAATGTTTTGCTAACGCGTGGTCATTGCACGAAAATTGTCGGTTTTCGTTAGTTTTCTTGTTACTAAGTTTGAGGTTATGTTTATAGTTTGCGCCCCCACGAAAAATGGACGCCGACTTGTACGACGAGTTCGGCAATTACATAGGCCCCGAGTTGGACAGCGACGATGACGAAGAAGAGGAACAAGAGTTACAAGAAGACGAAGAGCAGCAAGACTACGATGTAAGCCCCCTTTTACAATCTATCACAGTCTACAATTATTTCAACAGGATGAGCAAATGGAAGATGTGGAGCCCCAGCCCATGGCCATCGTTTTGCACGAAGACAAGCAATATTATCCTTCAGCGTTGCAAGTGTATGGCCCCGATGTCGAAACTATCGTTCAGGAGGAAGACGCGCAGCCGTTGGACGTGCCGTTGATCGAACCAGTGAAAAAAAAGAAGTTCCAGTTGAAGGAGCAAGATTTGCCTGACACGATTTATAGCATGGAGTGGGTTTGATTTTTTTTTTTTTTGAAAAAAAAGGGGTTATTTTTGGGGTTGCAGATTTTTGGCCGATATGATGGACAATACGTCGTTGATTAGAAACGTGGCGCTTGTGGGGCACTTGCATCACGGTAAAACCACGTTTGTGGATTGCTTGATTCGACAGACCCATCCTGGGTATCAGGATTATGATGAGAAGAATTTGCGGTATACGGATATTTTGTTCACTGAGCAGGAAAGAGGGTGTTCCATAAAATCAATTCCAATTACGTTGTTGTTACAAGATATTAAAAATAAGAGCTACTTGATGAATATTTTTGATACTCCAGGTAACACTTTGGGTTTTTTTTTTTAATTGTTGTTTAATTTTTGGGGTTTTATTTTAGGGCACGTTAATTTTTCTGACGAAGTCACAGCTGCAATGCGTCTGTGTGACGGCGTCGTTCTCTTCATAGACGCCGCTGAGGGCGTCATGTTGAATACCGAAAGACTCCTAAAACATGCAGTCCAAGAGCAGATGCAGATCACCATTTGTATAAACAAAATTGATCGGTTAATTCTAGAGTTGAAGTTGCCTCCACAGGATGCCTACTACAAATTGAGACACATTGTGGAGGAAATTAATGGGTTGCTGACGTAAATATGCCCGAAAATGGGTGAATTATTTTTATTTAAACATTTATAATAATTTTAGGTTGTATTCTGATGATGCTAATCCCCACATTGTGTCACCTGTCTTGGGCAATGTTTGTTTCGCCAGTTCACAATATGGCGTCTGTTTTACCCTAAAGTCGTTCGCCAATCTCTATAATCAGTGCTATGGAGACGTCAACGTTGAAGAATTTTCAAAACGATTATGGGGAGATATTTATTTTAACAGTAAAACGTGAGTTTTGTTTTTTCAAAAAAAAAAAAAAATCTCTTGTAATAAAAAATTCCAGGCGCAAATTCACCAAAAAAGCGCCTCACAACTCGGCGCAGCGCAGCTTCGTGGAGTTCATCCTCGAGCCCCTCTACAAGGTCTTCGCCCAGGTGGTGGGCGACGTGGACACCACCCTCGCCGACGTCCTGGACGAGCTCGGCATCAAGCTCACCAAGAACGAGATGAAGCTCAACATCCGGCCGTTGTTGCGCCTCGTGTGCAACAAGTTCCTGGGGGACTTCAACGGGTTCGTCAACATGTGTGTAGAGCACATAAATTCGCCCCTGGATAACGCGAAGAAGAAGGTGGACCACATTTATACGGGGCCCAACACTAGCAAGATTTACGACGATATGGTCAATTGTGACCAGGACGGGTTGCTGATGGTGCACAGCTCCAAGATGTACCCCACCGACGACTGCACCTTTTTCCAGGTCTTGGCGAGGGTGCTGAGCGGGACGCTGCACGCCGGGACCGACGTGAGGATTTTGGGGGAGAATTATACGCTGCAGGACGAGGAGGATTCGAGGGTGTTGACGATAGGGCGGCTGTGGATTTACGAGTCGAGGTGAATGATTAAAGTTTTACGACGGAATCTTCTTGCGAAGGCGCGATGTTGTTGGTTGTTGCGTAGGTGCCCAATAGGTGGCTCCACAGTTGAGAATTTTCCACTTTATTGACGCTTCCGAACGTACATTTTTCAGCGACATATATTTTTACGAATACAATCGTCTAAAACAAATTTGTTTCATAGACGAAATGGATTTTTTTATTATTAAAATTTTGATGTACAATTTACCACGTTAAAAGTTAAATCGTAAAATGTTGTTATACAGTTTTGATTTTTTTCCCAAAATTCGTAAAAACTGAACACAAACTCCATAAACCACGACTTCAACTGCAGGAATATAAATATTGTTATACAATTTTTTTTTTCCAAAAGTTTGGATGTCTAAGGTAAGAACTCAACACGGATTTATAAACCAAAAGTGCAGGTGTATGTTACTCTATAAAATTTAAATAACATTTATTCGGCATAATTTTGTGATGAGGTCATTAATTTTTTGGGAGAGGATAAACACGTTATTAGTGAATGCTCTAATATAGGGACAACGAAGAAAAACCAAAGAAAAAGTTGTAGGTGACTAAAAAAAAATATATGGAAAAACTCACTAGAAACATTTATAAAAAGTTTAGCCGATAGGGATCATCATCATAGCAAAAAATAAAATTATCGAAGTTGAATTATTTTTCAAAGCTGTATTGGTTCGACTGTGCTTAAGGAGCGAGGGAAGATTTTTTTTTAGCATAATTTGTTACGCGTTGGTTACTTTCCAAATATCTGATAATATTTCGCAGTAGTTTTGGCAACGCACTGTATATCATCGCAATAGAACAGAAGTCTAATAAATTATAGTAATAATTTTTTTTGCTAAAAAATTTAGAGTGGTTCTTACGCTTTATTTAGATTTTGATATTTTTTAAAATTATTTTGTTTTTTGTTCGAAAAAACAACGCATGTCTTGTTTTTACTTCCCGAGCGTAATGTAGTCTGTCGACCGACTCTTTACGTTTTCTCGACCTTTGATGACCCCTAGAGTACGAAGAAATAGGTTTCCAGTTTCCGTCTGTCTGTCTGCCATGGGTCTAAATGGGTTTCAAATTGTATAAAATAAATAGTCCTACACATGTAGTTTATGAGTCCGAGTTGAAAGGTCCACATTTTTAGAAAAAAAATCAGAATTATAAAAACCTTTTTTCAATTTAATTTTGAATTAATGACGAGTCAATTTATTTTACTAATTAAGTCAAGAATTGCAACACTGAATACTTTGAGATCCTGCAGTCGTTTTAAAATTATTGTAAGCAAGGTAAATTGTTGATCAAAATATATCTGTTTATTCCCACCAAAAAAATGATAACGTCATCTCAAAATTTTGCCGAATAAATTCTACTCAAAATGTGCAAAATTTGATGAGTTTTTGCTTGTGATTTATCATTATCTTTTTTTTTAATGAGGAACCTTCTCAGGTGGTCCAACTGTTTTTTTTTTATGTAAAACCTCGGGAGTCCCAACAGGTTTTTTATTATTTTTTTTTAATGTAAAACCTTCTCGGGGGTGCCAAAGGTCTTTTTTTTAATGTGAAACCTCGGGGGTTCAAACTGTGTTTTTTAAAAATGTGAAACCTTCTCAGGGGTCCCAAGGTCTTTTTTTAATGAGAAACCTTCTCGGGGGTCCCAACTGTTTCTTTTTTTTTTAATACAAAACCTCGGGAGCCGCCAAGAGTTTTTTTTAATCTGAAACCTTCTCGGGGGTCCCAAATATCTTTTTTAAAAATGTAACACCTTGTCGGGGGCGCCAAAGGCCTTTTTTTTAATGAGAAACCTTCTCGGGTATCCCAACAGTTTTTTTTTTAATGTAAAATCTCGTTGGCGCCAAAGGTCTTTTTTTTAATGTGAAACCTCGGGGGTTCAAACTGTGTTTTTTAAAAATGTAAAACCTTCTCAGGGGTCCCAAGGTCTTTTTTTGGATACCCTTTTGGTCCCCCTTTTGTACCTCCGTTTTTCCGCTGTTTGGACCTTTTGTACTTCCCGAGTGTAATTTTTTTTTAATGTGAAACCTCGGGGGTTCAAACTGTCTTTTTTAAAAATGTAAAACCTTGTCGGGGGCGCCAAACCCTTTTTTTAATGAGAAACCTTTCTCGGGTGTCCCAACAGTTTTTTTTTTTTTTTTATTAATGTAAAACCTTCTCGGGGGTCCCAACAGATTTTTTTTTAATGTAAAACCTTCTCGGGGGCGCCAAAGGTCTTTTTTTTTAAGTGAAATCTCGGGGGTTCAAACTGTGTTTTTTAAAAATGTTAAACCTTCTGAGAGGGCGCCAAAGGTCTTTTTTTAATGAGAAACCTTGGGGGGGGTCCCAACTGTTTTTTTTTTTTTTTTGTTAATGTAAAACCTCGGAGCCGCCAAGGGTTTTTTTTAATCTGAAACATTCTCGGGGGTCCCAAATGTCTTTTTTAAAAATGTAAAACCTTGTCGGGGGCGCCAAAGGCCTTTTTTTTAATGAGAAACCTTCTCGGGTATCCCAACAGGTTTTTTTTTTTTTTCTTTTAATGTAAAACCTTCTCGGGGAACCCAACAGTTTTTTTTATTTATTTTTTTTTTTAATGTAAAACCTCGGGGGCGCCAAAGGTCTTTTTTTTAATGTGAAACCTCGGGGGTTCAAACTGTGTTTTTTAAAAATGTAAAACCTTCTCAGGGGTCCCAAGGTCGTTTTTTAATGAGAAACCTCGGGGCTCTCAACATTTTTTTTTTAATGTAAAACCTTGGAGCCGCCAAGGGTTTTTTTTAATCTGAAACCTTCTCGGGGGTCCCAAATGTCTTTTGTAAAAATGTAAAAGCGTAAGCTTTGTTTTCTTTTTCTTTATGTATATAACCCAATAACTTCTAGATTCAATGCTAGGCCCGCTTATTTCATTTAAACGAAAATTACAGTTACGAATTTTGTAGAATTTACATAGATTACCAACAAATTACATAAAACCATTTTATTGTTGACGATATTTCAAAAAATGTGAGATTTTGACGTCATCTCCAAAATTTACGTTAGTAAATATTATTTCAATTGAAAAAAAAAATACTCCTGCACTTGTGGTTTATGAATCCGTGTTGAGTTTTTACCCTAAAATCTTAGAATTTCTCGAAAAATTTGGAATGATTTACCATCCACCAATTTTTTTTTATACATTACAGTTTTGCGTTATTTTAACTTTATTTTTTTTTCTATATCTCGGCTTCCAAATTTTTCAGTTTTTCATGTCTTAATTTTTCGATTTGCAGTTTTTCATAATCAATTTTTCAATTTCTTGATTTTTATTTTTCCTTTTCCAGATTTTTTAATTTTCATTTTCTACATTTTTATCACAATTTTTCGTTTATTCAAATTTTCAGTCTTTGATTTTTCAATTCCTCGATTTTCCAGTTTTTCAAATTTTCAATTTTGCAATATTTTTTATTTCCAATTATCAAATTTTTCTGCTTCTGTGATTTTAAATATTTAGATTTTACACTTTTTGGATTTTTAACTTTCTCAATTTTTAATTTTTCTTTTATTCAATTTTTCAAGATCTTGATTTCCAATTTTTAGATTTTTCAAAGTTTTTATTCTATACGTTTTCGTTTTTCAGTTTTCATTTTTAAAATTTACAATTTGGTGATTTTGCGGTTCTTCCATTTTTTATTCAGAAAGGTGAACATTTGAAAAATTATAAAAAGAAAAACTAAAAATGGGAAAAAATTAAAAATCGAAAAAATAAAGATAGCAAAATCAAAAAAGTGGAAAATCAAAGAACTGAAGAAATTTAAGAATCAAAAAATTGGAAACAAAACTAATCGAATCGAAAAATTGGAAAACCCAAAAAATTTTAAATTTGAAAATTATGTTATAAATTATATATCGCTGTTTTTGTCGTCTAGACCCTTTCTTCGCCTTTTTGTCTCCTCTTTTACCGCCTTTTTTTGGATACCCTTTTGGTCACCCTTTTTTTACCTCCGTTTTTCCGCTTTTTGGTCCTTTTGTACTTCCCGAGTGTAAGCTAAGTTATTATTATTATTATTTTTAAATACATAAAGTTTTCTTTCAACAGCAGGATAGTTAACATGTTTTCAGTTTCTTGTTGGGAAAAATGGACAAAATATAAGCCCCGCCCACCCACCCTTTCTCAATTGTGACGAATTTTTTATTCATCGTAAGCTGAAGGGTGGAGTTTAGTTGCTCAATCCTCATTTGTCTACAGAAAACTACCATATGAAATATGTTTTTAAAAGGGTAGATTTTTCTAGAGAAATTTTAATGTCACAATTAAACTCCGCCCCTCGGTCTGATTAGGAATCACAATTGAGATCGGGGCGAGTGGGTGGGGCGTAATCTTTGTTTTTTTTTCTTAATGTACATAAGCCACGTAGAATAACTTCAACTTTCTCGTTTTTCTCGAAAAACTGAAAAATATAAAAATTTAAAGTTTTAAAACCGGAAAACTCGAAAATTTCAAACTGAAATCTTGAAGAGATATCGCAAAATTATAGAAAAAAAAAACAAAATATTGAAAAATTGCAAATGGAAAAATTGAAAAAAAGTGAAATTGAAAAAACAACAAATTATAAAATCGGAACATTGAAAAATTGTAAAAATAAAAAAAAATAATAAAAAACTGAAACGAAAAATTACAAATTGGAAACTCGAGAAATTCAATTCGAAAAGTTGCAAAATTTATAAACTGAAAAATTTTAAAGTTGAAAACTCCAAAAATTTGAAATCAAAAAAATTGAGGAACAAAAAAATGGAAGATTCAAGAACTGAAAAATTGAAGTCAAAAAAGCTGCGGGATCGTTATTTACACCACTGTGGATTTTACTTTATAGAGGTTATCAGAAAATAAAAATTGCAAAAAATATATATAATTTTTTAATGAGAAACCTTCTCGGGTGTCCCAACAGTTTTTTTTTTTTTTTTTTTAATGTAAAACCTCGGGAGCGCGAAAGGTCTTTTTTTTAATGAGAAACCTTCTCGGGGGGTTCAAACTGTGTTTTTTAAAAATGTAAAACCTTCTCAGGGGTCCCAAGGTTTTTTTTAATTAGAAACCTTCTCGGGGGTTCCAACTATTTTTTTTTTATGTAAAACCTCGGAGCCGCCAAGGGTTTTTTTTTTAATCCGAAACCTTTTCGGGGGTCCCAAATGTCTGTTTTAAAAATGTAAAACCTTCTCGGGGGCCCCAAATGTATTTTTTTTAATGAGATGCCTTCTCGGGTGTTCCAACAGTTTTTTTTTTTTTAATGTAAAACCTTCTCGGGGGTCCCAACAGTTTTTTTTTTTTTTTTTAATATAAAACCTCGGGAGCGCGAAAGGTCTTTTTTTTAATGTGAAACCTCGGGGGTTCAAACTGTGTGTTTAAAAATGTAAAACCTTCTCAGGGGTCCCAAGGCCTTTTTTTAATGCGAAACCTTCTCGGGGGTCCCAACTGTTTTTTTTTTTTTTTTTAAATGTAAAACCTCGGAGGCGTCAAGAGTTTTTTTTTAATCTGAAACCTTCTCCAGGGTCCCAAATGTCTTTTTTAAAAATGTAAAACCTTCTCAGGGGTCCCAAGGTTTTTTTTAATTGGAAACCTTCACGGGGGTCCCAACTGTTTTTTTTATGTAAAACCTCGGAGCCGCCAAAGGTTTTTTTTTAATCCGAAACCTTTTGGGGGGTCCCAAATGTCTGTTTTAAAAATGTAAAACCTTCTCGGGGGCCCCAAATGTATTTTTTTTAATGAGATGCCTTCTCGGGTGTCCCAACGGTTTTTTTTTTTTAATGTAAAACCTTCTCGGGGGTCCCAACAGTTTTTTTTTTTTTAATGTAAAACCTCGGGAGCGCGAAAGGTCTTTTTTTAATGTGAAACCGGGGGGGTTCAAACTGTGTTTTTAAAAATGTAAAACCTTCTCAGGGGTCCCAAGGCCTTTTTTTAATGAGAAACCTTTTCGGGGGTCCCAACTGTTTTTTTTTTTTTTTAATGTAAAACCTCGGAGCCGCCAAGGGTTTCTTTTTAATCTGAAACCTTCTCCGGGGTCCCAAATGTCTTTTTTAAAAATGTAAAACCTTCTCGGGGGCGTCAAAGGTCTTTTTTTTTAATGAGAAACCTTTTCGGGGGGTTCAAACTGTGTTTTTTAAAAATGTAAAACCTTCTCAGGGGTCCCAAGGTTTTTTTTAATTAGAAACCTTCTCGGGGGTCCCAACTGTTTTTTTTTTTATGTAAAACCTCGGAGCCGCCAAGGGGTTTTTTTTTTAATCTGAAACCTTCTCCGGGGTCCCAAATGTCTTTTTTAAAAATGTAAAACCTTCTCGGGGGCGTCAAAGGTCTTTTTTTTAATGAGAAACCTTCTCGGGGGGTTCAAACTGTGTTTTTTAAAAATGTAAAACCTTCTCGGGGGCGCCAAAGGTCTTTTTTTAATGAAAAACCTTCTGGGGATCCCAACTGTTTTTTTTTTAATGAGAAACCTTCTGGGGGTCCCAATTGTTTTTTTTTATGTAAAACCTTCTCGGGGGCGCCGAAAGTTTTTTTTTTATGTGAAATCATCTTTTCGGGGGCCCCAAAGGTCCTTTTTTTTAATGAGAAACCTTCTCGGGGATCCCAACGGTTTTTTTAAATGTAAAACCTTCTCGGGGGCGCCAAGGGTCTTTTTTAATGTGAAACCTCGGGGGTTCAAACTGTGTTTCTTAATAATGTAAAACCTTCTCGGCGGCGCGAAAGGTTTTTTTTTTAATGAGAAACCTTCTCGAGGGTCCCACCTGTTTTATTTTTTCAAATGTAAAACCTTCTCGGGGGCGCCAAATGTCTTCTTTTTAATGTGAAACTTTCTCGGGAGTCCCAATTTTCTTTTTTAAAAATATAAAACCTTCTCGGGGACGCCAACTGTCTTTTATTTAATGTAAAAACCTTGACGAGTGCTCCAAATCTATTTTTTAAGTATGTGGAACATTCTAGGAGGCCCCAAGTGTCTTTTTTTAAGAATATTAATTCTTCTGGGGGCTCCCAACTGTCTTTTTGTAAGAAGGTAAAACCTGCATTTTTTCTATTACACTATGACTAATACCTTCTACGTTGTTTTTACTCCATAGAGGATATCAGGAAAAAGTAAAATTCCGTAGTATCAAATTTTATAATTTTTCAGAGAAGCAGTATTTGATGGACTGTATTTCAGAAGCGAGGGAAGTTCTGTCGAATTGACTTTTGACCAATTTTTTTAAAAGAGGATTTAGATAAAAATGCCAATTTTAAGGAGGCTTCGAAAATAATTCAGAATGAGTTACTTGTAAAACCATACATCAATATTTTTCGAATAATTATCGCTGTGGAATGTTTTTAAGGAAGCAGCTATGACACATCGACGTCTCATTATTTGACAGTGTTATTTTCATACTTAATGAATGTATAATCGATACGTTCATAAATAAATTCATAATTGAGCGTGGGTATGTTTATGTTCGGGGTATGTGAATAATGAGGCAAAACTGATTAAATTATCGGTGTCAGTTTAGATTTACGTTATTTAATTATTTACTCGAAACTCGAAATTCGGTAAATACGACGAATAATAACACTGTAACAAAAACAGCAGCTGTTTGTGTTCGGAAATAATGGAGTGTTTTTGTTTAATGTACCGTGTTTCAGAATTTCCATTTGTGGGAAATCGAATACATATTTTATTCATTTATAATGTATTGAAAGTATATTTATTATTTTGTAAATGTATTTTTACATACAAGTGGTCCAGAACCCCCACCTTGTTACTATTTTTAACAAAACAACAACCTTCTAGATACAAAATCGAACTGAACCGCGTCCCGGCCGGCAACTGGGTTCTAATCGAAGGAATTGACCAATCCATCGTGAAAACCGCCACCATTACGGACCTGACCATTTACGAAGACTTGTACATCTTCCGCCCCTTAAAATTTAACACACAGAGCATAATCAAAATCGCCGGTAAGTGAAAGCAAATTACTACTAAGACATTATAAGAAATTATATTTACCCCCCCCCAGTGGAACCCGTCAACCCCTCCGAGCTCCCCAAAATGCTCGACGGCCTCCGCAAAGTCAACAAATCCTACCCCCTGCTCACCACCCGCGTCGAGGAGTCCGGCGAGCACGTGGTCCTGGGCACCGGCGAGCTCTACCTCGACTGCGTCATGCACGACTTACGCAAGATGTACTCGGAAATCGACATCAAGGTCGCCGACCCGGTGGTGGCCTTCTGCGAGACGGTGGTCGAGACCTCGAGCTTGAAGTGTTTCGCCGAAACCCCGAACAAGAAGAACAAGCTGACAATGATCGCCGAGCCTTTGGAACGGGGGCTGGCCGAAGACATAGAGAACGAGAACGTGCAGATCGCGTGGAACAAAAAGAAGCTGGGGGAGTTCTTCCAGACGAAGTACGACTGGGATTTGCTGGCGGCGAGGAGCATCTGGGCTTTCGGACCAGATACCACCGGACCGAACATTTTAGTGGACGACACGCTGCCCTCGGAGGTGGACAAGGGGCTGTTGAGCTCGGTGAAGGACTCGATCGTGCAGGGGTTCCAGTGGGGGACGCGGGAGGGGCCGCTGTGCGAAGAACCCATCAGGAACACGAAGTTCAAGATCTTGGATGCGGTCATCGCGAACGAGCCGGTGCACAGAGGTGGAGGTAATTACTAATTACTAATATTTCAAGATATGAATTGTACTGATGATAATTTTCAAGGTCAAATCATTCCGACGGCCAGACGAGTGGTCTATTCAGCCTTCTTGATGGCGACTCCTCGATTAATGGAGCCGTATTTGTTCGTGGAAGTCCAGGCCCCGGCCGACTGCGTCTCGGCCGTGTACACGGTATTGGCAAAGAGGCGTGGTCACGTGACGCAAGACGCCCCAGTTCCCGGCTCTCCCCTATACACGATAAAGGCGTTCATTCCAGCGATTGACAGTTTTGGGTTTGAGACCGACTTGAGGACGCACACCCAAGGACAGGCCTTTTGCTTATCGGTGTTCCATCATTGGCAGGTTCGTCTTTTCTGATCGTTGGTACACTCAGAACGTTATTTTTGTATCCCCACCTACATGTGATGACGTCAGCCAATTTTTTAATACCACTGCTCTTACTGAGGTGTTTACTTAAGTGGGATTTATAAACTTGCTGTTGACGTTGAAGTTCCGTTGCGACTTGTTTTGAGTTTCTTGTCGAAATAAGTCTACACATATTACGAAAACAAGGCAAAGTGGAGCCCCGCCCACCCACCCGATCTCAATTGTGATGATTTTTTCTTATTCGTCGTGAGCTAAGAAGGCGGAGCTCAACTGCAAAATCCTTATTTGTCTACGAGAAATTAAAAACATGTTGTTCAAAGAATACTATGTATATTAAAAAAAAAAATAAAGCCAAATATTAGACCCCACACATACTCGCCCCGATTTCAATTCTCAATTGAGGGGCGGGGTTTAACTTAGTTGTAAGGTTCTTGTTCTGAAAAGACTACTACGTATACTAAGAAACAAGGCAAAATATAAGCCCCGCCCACCCACCCTATCTCAATTCTGAAGTAATTGCAAAATTAATTTTCGCCATACAAATTTACCATTTTAAACATCTTTTAAGTTTCTTGTTGTGAAAAGAAGACCACACATATTAAGAAAAAAAAAAAAAGGCAAAATGTAGCCCCGCCCACCCGCCCTATCTCAATTGTGGTAATTTTTTGTATTCGTCATGAGCCAAGGAGCCGGAGCTTAACCGCAAAATCCTTATTTCTCTAGGAGAAAAAACATGCTTTTGAGTATCGTGTTGTTCAAAGAATATTTTGTGTGTTAAGAAAAAAATAAAGCCAAAAATTAGGCCCCACTCATACCCGCTCAGATCTCAATTCTCAATTGTGAGGAATTTTTCGTTCGTTGTCAGATCGAGGGGCGGGGCTTAATTGCAAGATCCATATTTGTCTACAAGAATTTACCATTTTAAACGTGTTTTGAGTTTCTAAGAATAAAAAAAATCATTACAATTGAGATCGGGTGGGTGGGCGGGGTTTATATTTTGCCCTTTTTTCTCAATATACATGGTATTCTTAGAACAACACGATACTCAAAAACATGTTTCTAATTTCTTAAAAAAAAAAATATGTATTTTACCCTTAAGTTCCGCCCTCATGGTTCACGGCGAATAAAAAAAAAACATCACAATTGAGATAGGGCGGGTGGGCGCGCTTATATTTTGCCTTTTTATTTTAATATGTGTAGACTTCTTTTCAGAACATGAAACTTAACCATGTTCTAAGTTTCTTGTTGTGAAAAGATGACTGTGTATATTAAAAAAAAAAGACAAAACATAAGCCCCGCCCACCCGCCCTATCTCAATTCTGATGATTTTTTATTCGTCGTAAGCCGAGGGGCGGTGCGTAATTGCAAAATTGATTTTCGCTATACCAATTTACCATTTTAAATATCTTTTAAGTTTCTTGTTGTGAAAACAAGACCACACATATTAAGAAAAAAAAAGGCAAAATGTAGCCCCGCCCACCCGCCCTATCTCAATTATGGTGTTTTTTTTTATTCGTCATGAGCCAAGGAGGCGGAGCTTAACTGCAAAATCCTTATTTCTCTACGAGAAAAAACATGCTTATAAGTATCGTGTTGTTCAAAGAATATTCTGTGTTAAGAAAAAAATAAACCCAAAAATTAGGCCCCACCCATACCCGCCCCGTTCGCAATTCTCATTTTTCATTCGTTGTCAGATCGAGGGGCGGGGCTTAATTGCAAGATCCATATTTGCCTACGAATTTTTTTTCTATCTTTCTTCAAAATCTTAGAATTGTTTGAATAATTTAGAATCTCCCCAATTTTTCTAATTTATAGAATTTTTCAAATCTGTAATATCTAGAAACCGTAGAATTTCTAAAATCTTTAGAACTTTAAAATTACTAGCATTTCTAGATACTTAAACTCTCTAGAATGTTTGGAAATTTTGAGTCCTTAGAGTCCTTGGAGTTTTAAGAGTCTACAGAATCTTCGGAATTTCTATAATCAATGGAAAATCTAGAATCTTTAGAGATCTCAGAGCCATCAGAGTCTCTTGAATCGTCAATCTTTATAACTTTGAAAATTTTAGAGATTTTAGAATTAGTAGATGTTCTAGAATGTTTAGTAGCTACAGGATCTTTAGATTTTTTTTTCTATCTTTCTTCAAAATCTTAGAATCGTTTGTTCATTAATAATTTAGAATCTCCCTAATTTTTCCAATTTATAGAATTTTTCACATTTCTGTAATATCTATAACTTTCAGAACTTATTACTTACTATAATTTTCAGAACTTTTAAATTACTAGCATTTCTAGATACTTTAACTTTCTAGAATCTTTGGAAATTTTGAGTCTTTAGAGTCTTAAAAATCTGTAGAATCTTTGGAATTTCTGAAATCTATGGAAAATGTAGAATCTTTAGAGATCTCAGAGCCATCAGAGTCTTTTGAATCGTCAATCTTTATAACTTTGAAAATTTTAGAGATTTTAGAATCAGTAGATGTTCTAAAATGTTTAGTAGCTACAGGATCTTTAAATTTTTTTTCTATCTTTCTTCAAAATCTTACAATCGTTTGTTCATTAATAATTTAGAATCTCCCTAATCTTTCTAATTTATAGAATTTTTCACATTTCTGTAATATCTAGAAACCGTAGAATTTCTAAAATTTTCAGAACTTTTAAATTACTAGCATTTCTAGATACTTTAACTTTCTAGAATCTTTTGAAATTTTGAGTCTTTAGAGTCTTAAAAATCTGTAGAATCTTTGGAATTTCTGAAATCTATGGAAAATGTAGAATCTTCAGTCTTTAGAGCTTTTAGAATCTTTGGAAATTTTAGAGTGTTTAGAATCAGTAGAACTTTTAGAATGTTTAGAATTTCTAGGATCTTTAGAAACTCTTCAATTCCTGGGATCTTTAGTAGCTACAGAATCTTTGTAACCTTTTTTAACTTCAAAATCTTAGAATTGTTTGTTCATTCGTAATCTTCCTTATCTTTCTAATTTATAGAATTTTTAAGATCTTATTAGAATTTGATTTTTTTTTAATATTTGGAATCTTTCAAATTTCCGTAATCTCTAGAAACCATAAAATTTCTAAAATCTTCAGAATTTTTAAATTACTAACATTTATAGATACTTTAACTTTCTAGAATTGGAATTTCTGGAACGCCTGGAATCTATGGAAAACGTTTAAAATGGAAAATCATTTTAAACGTGTTTTAAGTTTCTAAGAAAAAAAAATCATTACAATTGAGATCGGGTGGGTGGGCGGGCTTACATTTTGCCTTTTTGGTTTAATATGTGTAGATTTCTTTTCAGAACATGAAACTTAACCATGTTCTAAGTTTCTTGTTGTGAAAAGGTGGCTGTGTATATCAAGAAAAAAAGCAAAAATATTAGCCCCGCCCACCCGCCCTATCTCAATTCTGATGATTTTGTGTATGCGTTGTCAGACCGAGGGGCGCAACGTAATTGCAAAATCGATATTTCTGTACTAGAAAAAAAAAAACATATTTTTGAGTAGCGCGTTGTTCAAAAAATACTGCATATGTTAAGAAAAAAACAAGCCAAAAGTTAAGCCCCACCCATATCCATCCCAAGCTCAATTGTGGTGAATTTTTCATTCGTTGACAGATCGAGGGGCGGGGCTTAATTGCAAGATCCATATTTGTCTACAATTTGAGGGTTTCGGTGAACAGGTGATTAAATTGCTTAATGCTAGTGGACCTCATTATCTCTATCAAACGCTGCGTATTTATCTTACGTCAGCGACAAGTTTATAAATCGACCTTTACCAAGTACCCTAACCTCACTTTTTAAAAATTTTCGGTGTTAGATGTGCATTTTGAGAATTCATTGGTTATAAATGTAATTCTAGATCGTACCTGGGGACCCTCTGGACAAAAGTATAGTCATCAGACCTCTGGAACCACAACCAGCGACACATTTAGCCAGGGAATTCATGATAAAAACGAGGAGGCGGAAAGGTTTGAGTCAGGACGTGTCGATCAACAAATTTTTCGACGACCCTATGTTGTTAGAGTTGGCAAGACAAGACGTCATGCTAAACTATCCCCTACTTTAAAATATAGCTATAAGTTTTTATTGTCAGAGTACATGCAACTAAAATAAAAAAGTCGTATATACAAAAAAATATCATTCCAAAATATACAGATAACCTGCCTTAAAACAATACAACAATAAATACTGAAACGTTGTCAAACTTCAAAAATACAATACAATATGTTCATGAATATTAGTCAGATATGTGTAACGAAGGCACTAAGTACGTGATCAGACTTCAAACTTTGGATGACATTTCGATTTGTACGACGACCAATAGGAGCCGCGTCACGTGACGTAACAACGCCCTCTTATTGGTCACTAAAAATAGTAATACGTCCAAGTTTGACAGACCACTATTCTTGTTTAACTTGCGGGAAATAGGCCGGCCATGCCAAATTCCAGATAATAGCAGCCCCCATTAAAATTACGTATGTCACAATGGAGACCCACCAGACGATTTTCTCCGCTTTTGTGACCTCCAGGTTCCTTAGTACATTCAGCCCCACTAGAAGACCGGCAGCGGCCCCCGCAAAATGAGCCACATAACCTATATTTTCCTGCATATCCAAAACGTACCGGTTGTAGATGGCTGTACCAATGTCTGACACTGTGACCAAAAGAAAAAGAAATAATTGGACGATGGGAAATGACATCTCCTTCCAGTTCATTATTATCGTGGCTATGTGGGCTGTGATTAGCGCGTACACGCCCCCACTAGCCCCCGCGAGCTTGACCGACGGGTCCGCGATGGAAGTGGCCAAAGAGCCGGCCACCACCCCTGAGAAATAAATGAGTAAGACGCGCCACCAACGGTGCACCATTTCGAGAGGTATTCCGAGGAGAATTTGTACTAAGAGATTAACAAACAAGTGGAAAGCCCTACAACAAAATAACAAACCAACATTAAAATTTCTAGCCAAAATTTGACACTTACCCTACGTGCACGAACATGTACGTGAGGAACCTCCACGCTTCTTTTCGCCTATAAGGGTCATAAATGAACGTCGAACTTATAGGCCCCGTTGCCGTGTTAGTAGACCCCGCGTCAATGGCTTCATCAACGCAGAAAAAAATCACTTCGATTATGGAAATTACGAGCATACCGACCGCAGGGGGGTAACAAGTGTACTGCTCTTCATATAGCCCGTCTATCTCAGTCGGTGCGGGCCTTCTGGGTACCACCATTTGAATGTACCGGTTTACGTAGTGCCCAAAAACGTATTGCAAATCGGGGTTGTTAATCATGTCCACGAACTCCGTAAAGTCAATGCGGTCGTCATTATTTTGGTCGGCCATTTGGTGGATTTTCCTCACCACGTGTCCTGGAATGTCGTGTTCGTACTCCCTGCTTTCGATCATGTTGTTGAGTTCTTGGATGTTAATAAAACCGTCATGGTCGGAGTCGTACTGAAAAAAGTCCGTCAATTTTGGCTAATTCGGGTGAGCAAAACTTACTCGGTTGAAAATACTGCGGTAATACTCATTTTTCCGCCTGTCGTGCAAGGGGGCTTCGGAATTTGCCTCGTCGTGAGCCATGACATAACCTCAACTGTCACACTCAACACCTCCTAAATCACGACTGGCGCGCTATGTTTGGATTTAGCACTATCAAACAAAAACACTTATGTGCTAACTACACTCATCCTATTATCACCACTGATAAGGTTAGCGGTACACGTTATCATTTTAGTAACTTTTAGTGTTAATGTCATTTAGTGTAGGGAATTTCGCGCCTCACGTTGGCACATCTCAAATTATCGCTCCATCAGTAAACAAAAACATTATTAAAAACACTCTAATTGCGTTTACTTTGTTATCACACCGTCAACAACAAACACACACACACACCGCTTAAATTAAAAACGTCCAACACCCTAGGGATTTTCGCCGCTTCATGTTGCCCCGGTTCAAATCTCCCCGCGCGGCTAACGTCATTGTTGTGATTCACCAAAATCACCTCATTAACCGAAATGACTCACCCTAACGAGTATTTATTAAAATACACGGCGATATACAGGTGCTCGGATGATATCACCAACTTAAAAATAAGGTAAGTGGTGTAATTGTGAAACCCAGTTCAAGGTCACTCCGCAGGATCAAGCTCCGCCAAGTGGAAAGTTTCGACGACGATTCGCCCCAATGGGACACGAAGACGTTCGTCTGGCAACAGAAAGTCTTCAGCAAAAGCGAAATCGAATTCTACAAAGACGAGAAAAATTGCGTCACGGATTTGGAGAAGAAGTACCACTTGGACGTGGTGAAGTTAGCGCCGGATGCGAAATGGAGCTTATTTTCGTATGTCAACGACGACGATTTTGTGATTAGGGAAGAAATTAATAATTATTTTCAAAAAACGGAGGAGGATGAAGAGTATGATTATAGGAGGTCGGTGGAGGGGGCGGTTCGAAGTCCCGTTGGTCGCAATTATGAGTACGACGCCATGTTTATAATGGCGGATTTTGGGTGATTGGCGCCGTTTTTTGAAACTTGAGTCGCCATTTTGTGTTTCAGAGAGTACGTGGATGCGGCTTGGATTAAGTACGAGAAGGTGTTGTGTGTGGTCAAGTATGATAAAAAGTATAAGGTTATGTGTGTGTATCCTGATTTTACGCAGTACCAACCTTACAATTTGAAAATTGATGGAACCACCAGTCGGAAGTTTCAGTATTTTGTCGAAAACGTGTCAACGGCGATGCCTGAAGATGACCAGTATAAAGAAACCGAACTTATCAGAAAAGTTAGTGTTTAGTGACAATGAGTGACTTCAGTCATAACCTCACTTTTTAGCTTAATAGTCACAAATTGGAAGTGATTAAGCACCTCGACTCGAATTTCCACCTACCACCAAAAAACAAACTCCAAATTTATCTATTTTTTGAAATTCTTTGGGCTAAAGAGTTCGAATATGACACTGTTTACGTCCAGTATTTCATCGATTTGCCGCCAGAGTGGACCTGCGTCGACAAAAAGCAGCTCCAGGGAATCACCCAAACCTGTCACACTAAAGGCGAAGACAACGTGGCGCACTTCGGTCACGTTTTTGACGTCACCCTTGACTACAATATTGAAGGCTTGGCCAAAAAAATCCCCAAAAGTCCCTACATTTACTTCGAGATTATTTCCAAGGACACTTGGAGTCGTTACCGCACCGAAGGCCTAACTTACAAGAACTTGCCAGTCGCCAAACCCGGAAACTACCGATTCGAGCTGCAATGCTTCCGGTTAATCCCCGACAGCATTTCCGGGCAGCTGAGACGCTTCTTCGTCGGTGACTGTTCCAACTACAATGACATCACGTGGATTGGTTTACCCAAAGATTACGACGTAAGCGCTACGTTGTCAGTTGGCAGTACTGATGTTTGTTTTTAGGGTTTTTTTCTCAATAAGTATGGTACTAATACGGTTGGTACTGGCCAGATCGGGATTCGCGTAAACGTCATTCAGCAAAGTCAGGCGTTTTTGGAGCAATCTAGGGATAGTAAAGACGAAAGTTTGGATATTTTTGAGAAATTGAATTCCTCGAGTTTGGTCAAGAGTGTGGAACAAGTGTTGCAGGCGTTTAAGCGCGCTCGAAAAAATATGATTGCGGCAAGAAAAAATCTATGATTGGAGAGAGTTGTTTTATTTCGGTCCTTTCCGTTTCAGAAATGTGAGGTTATGATCAGTTTAAACCGTACAAACGTATCATCGTTTGCGAATTGAGTGGAAGTAACGCTTTGTATTGCTACACCCTGTGAATTATGTCCTGTTCATTTTTATAAATCTCCACTGCACGACCACGACCCACAGTTAATGACAAGAAATGACACTTGAAAATGAATAGATGTAAACGTGGCAACGCCGCTGCACATATAAAACAAAATCGATATATTATTACACCTAGCGGGGATCGTATCACTTTCGTGCGTTTCCGGGTATTTCCGCCGTGTTTATAGTGTGTTATAAAATCCACGGTTTGGCAATTTTTTTATCTGTGTGATTAATTTAATCGCAATCGTGTCAATACCTGAGATAAGTGGGTTTCTTGGAATTAAACGAAAATGCCGGGGATAGGGGCCGGCGGTCTGATCTTGTCGAGACGTGGGAGAACCAGGAATGCGCGGTTGCCACGTCTCCGCTTGAACCTGTCTCAAATTGTAACACAGTCGCCTATTTTGCAAGTCATTGACACGTCGCTCCTTCAGGGTGTAGATAATCGATAAAATCGATTTTTTCTTCGTCCGTGGTCGTTCTCTCTCGTTTCTGCTACATTGTAACTCGTTATCACAGCCTCTACGATCTCGGAGTAATTTTAGCCGAACCTCCCCGGCCTGCTTTATTTTTGCTTTGTATTTTTTCCAAACGTGGGTTTTTCGGGTCGTCGAGGGGGTAGACAGCCCCCTTTGGTCCGTTTCCCGGGCTAAAATCCCCGATTATTCAGCGGGATTGTAGTATTTTGATACTTGTAGCTTAAAGGAGATAGACCGGTTTAAGCCAGCCGACCCGATGTTATTTACCGCATCGCTTTGTAACTATCTCCGAAACCTTCAGAGGCCGAGTGTAAAATACAATACCCATTTTTGTTTATCTTTCGCAAGGCCAGACGATCCGGCAACGCCGCTTTTGCATGTGACACATTTGCAAATGACAACCGCTGCCAACATCTGCGACAATCGATAGCAGTGTCAGGATTTGACATTTGTCAAGTCCGTCGTCACCTGTATCGGAATCGATCACGAATAAATAATTCACGCTTTTCGCTAATAATTTAAATTTCTAAATGTGAATCCGTCTATTTCTGTGTGTGACGTCGATCAATAACGGGGGGAAAAGCAGCCATGGCAACTCTTTCTTTTGTTTTTCCACACATTTCGTTTTTTCGTAAATTTGGCGATTTTCGGCGGGGGCGGGGGCGCACCAAGGGTCGGCGGCGTTGCCGCTGCGCCGCCCCTCGTCGCTTTGCAACGCCATCGCGAATAAAATTTAATGTTAATAATAACAATTTTTTCGTCGTCATGTTGGCATATCCCCTTTAATATAACAGTCTAAAATCTCCCGTCTCTCTCTCGCTCGGGTAAAAATGAAACCGGAATACTCTAAACCGTATTGTTCGCGTGGGCCGAGCTGCGACGCACGTCGATTGTTGTGTTTGCGCGCGGCCGCCGTTTTGCGCGAAATTTGCGCGTTTTTTCCGGCGGCGGCGGCGTTTTCGGGGGGGCTATTCGGCGCGGGTGCGGTTTGGGGCCGCCGAGCCGGGTCCTGAGGGGGCTGCGGTTCGTTGTGAGACGGCGGGCGGCAGGTCGTAGCTAGGGTCTACTTGCGTCTAGCTTCATCTCGCTCGCAGTATGCGGCCTCCCCTACGTTTGGAAAAGATCGACTCATCCGGACCTGTTTTCGTTTCAGCTTCGAAGTTTAACCAAGATGTCGGGTTATGGCGGTATCTATATTATAGAATAGTGTTTCGAGAGTGGAAAAGTAAAAACCGATGACTTTAGGGCGATTTCCGAGTGCTCCGACCCCTAAAATCGTGTGAGTGTAGTGCGAGCCGCCGCCGCCAGTGCCACGTTCCGACCCCGCGAAAACACGTTTTTCCGTTTTTCCGCAAAGGCCCGCTTTTCCCATTTTCATGTCGATTTTGCGGCGCTTCGGGCCGCTGCTTTCCACGTTGGCGGCCAGAGGTGGCACTTTCTACGGTCGAGTCGCCTGGGCAAACAATATGTAATCGGGGGTGGTTTTCGCTTTTCCTCTGTGATTTTTCATTTTCGTTTGTTGTTTTGTTGCGGAGTCCAGCATGGGGGGCAGTGTACGAAGCGAGTGCTCGAAACAGTCCAGTGTGTGCGCCTATACAGTGTGTTCCTGAAGACAAAAACAAGAAAAATCGTGCGTAAATGTATATGATATGGAAATACATTCCGTGAGAATTGAACATGGGTCTGTACAAACACCGACAATGTCATATTCGCAAAGACAACCCCAGAATCATAGGTGAGTACGAGTGGAAATTAGGAGTAATACGAAAAGAGGGCTTGGATTTTACCCATTTTACCGAGAATTAGGCGACTTTTCCGATTGTACCGTTACCGCATTTCCGTCGCTTGCTGCGATCGCGGCTGCCACGTAAAGCGTGGAAATTGCGAGTCGGGGGGCCCCGAGCCCCCATAAAACCACGCTATTAACGATCGGGAGCTTGTTTAATAGTGCTTAAATCTCGCATTAATGGCGTAGTTTCGAGCTATAGAACAAAAATCGACATTCCATTGTTCGTCGAACGATAATCGTAGTACTCATAGTAGACTCTGAAAAAAACAAAAAGAGCGTTTCGTACAAAATTTAAGACACTTACTTAGATTTTTTTGTGTTATTTATGAGTGAGTTAGGTTTCAGTCGGTGCATTTTTTCACGTGTGCTTTTATGCTAAAACGAGTAATCTATTTTTGGCAATTCGTGAGCTAAACTTTTTATTTCTGTGACATAGAATAAAGGTGATAGAGTCTTAGGTGTAGCAATATGATCAAGTTCTTTGATTTTTTAATAAAAGTGGAACAAAATATACGTTCTTTATTAAGTTGACAAACTTTAATTGCGTGTGGTGTATATGGTAGCGAAATTTAGAGCCATAAATTCGGTTTTATAAAAGTTAGAATATTCCAAACATAAAGATAAAACCACCTAAAAATTGTACTTTGTTTACGAGGTAGATATTTTTATCTGGATGTTGAAAAGTTTCGAAATACACTTCCAGCAAAATTTAGAATGAGTCATGAGAAAATATTTTGTTCATTTCGAAAGTTTTAAATTTCGGACAATAAAATGGTTGCATTGTTTCAAATGGTTTGAAATATTTGAAAATTTTCGGACTGAGTAGGCCACGATATCAAAAAATTGATTCAACTGTGTAGAATAAAGGTGATAGGTTCTTAGGATTGGGAATACAATTAAATTGCATAAAAATATTAAATATACTCAAATCTGTTGCAGAAATGTAAATTGTTTTCGAATGGATAACATTCTATCCACTTTACTGATAGTAAATTATGGAGTGTACGTGTTTAAAGAATATATCAAACAAAACATATGTTCTGAGGTGGCTAGAATAAAAACATTTTAATAAAAATGATAGTTTGGTATCTTGTACACATCTCTATAGGTCATAGTTTGAATAATTGTTAATTTTTTGTGGAAAATGCAGTCACTGTAAATTGTTTAAATTAAAAAATATTGTTTCACTATAATGCAGAAAAAAGACTAATAATAGATTCGTCATTTTAGTGCTTTAACACTTGACACATTTGTGAATTTTAGAAGTTGAGAAAAACGAGACATTGTGGAGAACAAAATGGTGGCTCTGTTTCACGTGGTTTGAAATATTTGAAAATTGATTTTTGGCTATTTGTAAGTAAAAATTGTGATTTTTGTGACAGAATAAAGGCAGTTTTTATGTTTTGTTTATAATTTACACCTTATACAATTTTAAAAATGTCAAAGTTGCTTTGGAATTTGAATAAGTCGCATCTTGTTGCTAGAAATTAAAAGGAGAACGAAATATCCAATTTTTATTAAGTTTGCAAAACCTTAATTGCTTACTAGTGAAAATTTACGTCAATAAATGCCATTTTATAAAAATTCCAATGTTCTCAACATAGAGATAAAACCACGTAGAAACTATACTTTATCAGGTAGATATTTTTTACAATGAATCATCACAAGATCTTTTGTGAATTTCTATGCTCTTACATTTTTTGAAAAATACCGAAAACGATTTACAAAAACAAAAAAGAAAAACTGAATTAATTGTAGAAATGTAAATTGTTTCCTAATGTATGACATTGTGTCCACATTACTGTTCATAAATTCTAAATGCACGCTTAAGTGATACATATATCACACAAAACATATGTTTTACGTTGTACAGAACAAAAAGATTTTATTTCATACCATGATTTATTTTTGTTTCACTTTAGTTAGGTCGTAGTTTGAATAGTTTTTTTTTTTTTTTGAAAAATTTTATAGAAATTAAATTTTTACTAACGACAGAAGTAGTGAGAAGTTACGTTATTAAAACAAAAAGGATACTGAACTATCAAAAATCATATATAGGTGTTCAATTTTTGTTATTATTAGGTAAAAATTAGCTTAAAAGTCTTCAAGATTCTCTTTTATTTACCCAAGCAGTTTCGGGTTATTGCGGAAGTTATCTTCAGGGAGATTACAATAACAAGAGTTACTAAAATACCAACAAAATAATTGTAATTTTGATTTCCAACTTAAATTTCGGATAAAAGCAATGAAAATATTGAAAAAAATCTTTTCGTAAAAGTCTAAAAGTGAAACTTTTACTAAAAGACAATAAAGAAGAATTTTTTTGTTTTAGCCACAAAAACCAATATAAATAAAACAAATATATCTGTATAAAAAACATTTTGTATAACTCGTTGACCATCTTTATTAAGTAAAAAATTGGTTAAAAGTCGTTTTTATCAACATTCTCTCAAGTAAAGTAAAAAACTGGTTAAAAGCCGTTTTTATCAACATTCTCTTTTATTTACCCAAGCAGTTTCGGGTTATTGCGGAAGTTATCGTCAGAGAGATTACAATGACAAGAATTATTAAAACACTAACAAAATAAACCTAAATGTATAACGTTGAGCTGTTATTAACAATTTTCTTTGTTAAGTTGGTATCGACAAAATCGTTAAATGTCAAAAATTCACTTGAAGATGGCGCCCATATCAAGCCGAAACTAGTTTGAAAAAAAATGTACATAAATAAATTTACGAAATAAATTTATTTGTTGGGTTTGTTGTATGACGGTATAATTTTCAAAATAATAATAAATTTAGAATTGTACTTTTAGATTTGAGTATTTTTTATTATTGTAATTTTGATTTCCAACTTAAATTTCTGATTAAATCAATGAAAATATGTATTGGAAAAAATCTTTTCGTAAACGTGAAAATTTTACGAAAAGACAATAAAGAAGATTTTTTTGTTTTAGTCACAAAATCCAATATAAATAAATCAAATATGTATATCTGTATAAAAAACATTTTGTATAATTCGTTGACCATCTTTATTAAGTAAAAAATTGGTTAAAAGTCGTTTTCATCAACATTCTCATAAGTAAAGTAAAAAATTGGTTATGTATTTTTTATCAGCATTCTTTTTTATTTACCCAAGCAGTTTCGGTTTATTGCGGAAGCCATCTTCAGGGAGATTACGTTAACAAGAGTTGCTAACATACCAACAAAATAAACCAAAATCTTTAACGTCTGGCTATTATGAACAATTTTCTTTGTTTTTTTGGTATTGAGAAAATCGTTAAATGTCAAAAATTCATATCAAGATGGCGCCCACTTTAAGACTTTAGAAAAAAAAGTAAATCACACCTTATTTACCAAATAAATTTATTGTTCAGGTTTCAGGTATGATGGTATAATGCTCAAAATAACACTAAATTTATAATTGCACTTTTAGTTTTGAATGTTTTTTATTATTGTAATTTTGATTTCCAACTTAAATTTCTGATAAAAGCAATGAAAATATGTATTGGAAAAAATCTTTTCGTAAACGTGAAACTTTTACGAAAAGACAATAAAGAAGAATTTTTTTGTTTTAGCCACAAAATCCAATATAAATAAATTAAATATATCTGTATAAAAAACATTTTGTATAACTCGTTGACCATCTTTATTAAGTAAAAAATTGGTTAAAAGTCGTTTTTATCAACATTCTCTTTTACTTACCCAAGCAGTTTCGGTTTATTGTGGAAGTTATCTTCAGTAATATTATAATTACAAGAGTTATTAAACACCAACAAAATAAACCTAAATATTTAACGTTTAGCAATTATTAACAATTTTCTTTGTTAAGTTGGTATCGACAAAATCGTTAAATGTCAAAAATTCATATCAAGATGGCGCCCACATTAAGCCGAAACCAGTTGGAAAAAAATGTACACTTTGTTTATGAAATAAATTTATTTTTTGGGTTTATTTTATGACGGTATAATTTTCAAAATAACAGTAAATTTAGAATTGTACCTTTAGATTTGAGTATTTTTTATTATTGTAATTTTGATTTCCAACTTAAATTTCTGATAAAAGCAATGAAAATATTGGAAAAAATCTCTTCGTAAACGTGAAACTTTTACGAAAAGACAATAAAGAAGAATTTTTTTGTTTTATCCACAAAATCCAATATAAATAAATCAAATATATCTGTATAAAAAACATTTTCTATAACTCGTTGACCATCTTTATTAACTAAAAAATTGGTTAAAAGTCGTTTTTATCAACATTCTCTTTTATTTACCCAAGCAGTTTCGGGTTCTTGAGGAAGTTATCTTCAGTGATACTATAATTACAAGTGTTATGAAAACACCAACAAAATAAACCTAAATCTGTAACGTTTAGCTATTATTAACAATTTTCTTTGTTAAGTTGGTATCGACAAAATCGTTAAATGTCAAAAATTCACTTCAAGATGGCATTCACATTAAGCCAAAACTAGTTCGAAAAAAATGTACTCCTTGTTTACTGTTTACGAAATAAATTTATTTTTTGGGTTAATTTTATGACAGTATAATTTTCAAAATAACAGTAAATTTAGAATTGTACCTTTAGATTTGAGTATTTTTTATTATTGTAATTTTGATTTCCGACTTAATTTTCTAATAAAAGCAATGAAAATATGTATTGGAAAAAATCTTTTCGTAAACGTGAATCTTTTACGAAAAGACAATAAAGAAGAATTTTTTTGTTTTAGCCACAAAATCCAATATAAATAAATCAAATATATCTGTATAAAAACATTTTGTATAACTCGTTGACCATTTTTATTAAGTAAAAAATTGGTTAAAAGTCGTTTTTATCAACATTCTCATAAGTAAAGTAAAAAATCGGTTAAAAGTTGTTTTGATCAATATTCTCTTTTATTTACCCAAACAGTTTCGGGTTATTGCGGAAGTTATCTTCAGGGAGATTAGA